TGTGTGTGTGTGTGTGAGAGAGAGAGAGAGAGAGAGAGAGAGAGAGAGAAAGAGAGAGAGAGAGAGAGAGAGAGAGAGAGAGAGTTCGCCTCTGCCTCTGCCAGGTTCTACCTTGATCGGCACGCGGCCTATTGCGTATACGGAGAGAGAGAGTCCGGTCTGACCTCGTTCGATTAAACGACGCCGCCGTCGAAACGGTAACTACCCCTTGCTCGCGATCTCTCGTGCACAGGGGGTTTTCAAACGCAGAGCAGCTTGATATCGATCGCCGGGACAAGCACCGGTATAAAGCGTAATCCGATAATCCGTTCGGGATGAAGAGTCGCCGCGGATAAGGAGTTCGATTCGCGATAAGGCAAAGATTTTCACGGAGACCGATAACCGATAACCGATCGAAGAGGGCGCAAAGGGTGGGCGTGCTTCCACCGAGCGGAACAAGAAATACCACGGTCGGTCGCGAGAAGAGGGTCGGTAGGGAGAGAGAAGACGACCGAGAAGTCGGTGCAAGGGAAGCGACGATGGGAGCGGGTGCAAGGGCTGGACGCGATGCCGGGAGATGTGGCCGGGTCGAGGGCGCCGCGAGGTAGGGGGTGGTTGCCCGGTGCGTAGGAGAGCCTGCTGTGCTATGGTGCCGAGAACTCCTTTGTCGGGCGACGAGGTGGCGCCAATGTATCGAAAGCACCGATGTGTATGCAACACCTCCTGCTTTTTCCATCGAAACTTCAGTCGCTTACGTGGAACGGTTGCGGTTGCCTGCGAACGCAAGTCCTCCCGCGGACTAGAACGCAACAGGACGCGGTGCGTTTCGTCTCGTCTCGTCCTCGTTTCCACACACTGCCCGATCGGAACCGTCTTTTTAAACCACCCCCGATAAACGATCCCCGTAAACGATCTTCGCGAGCGATCTCCGCGAACGATTGTCCAGAAACGATCTTCGCAAACGCGCCGCCTTTCGGTCTTTCAACGAGTCGGATCGCTCGCGTTTCGCCAGCCTGTGCAGACGTCAATTGTGAACTTCAATATCGTCGGAATCGTTCGATCGAACGTCGGTTTCTCCAGTTTTCCACGACGAGCATCGCCGTCGCTCGTGTAAACATCCGCAGTCTATTCTTCGCCGATCGGCTTCCCCATCCCCACGACTCTTCTCCCTTCTCGTCTCTCATGCGAGCAACCCTTTGGCAAAGAGGTAGGACACCGCCGGAGAAAAGCCATAATGCGTGCAACGCCGGCGATCGTTAGCGTCCGGTGGAACTATGCGATGCGCACCCAGGGTACCCGAGAGTAACAGGTGGCTCGCGGATCGAGTGCCGTGTCGCGATTACCGTGATACGCGGCCCCCTTTTGATCGGTAGTTCGCTTTGTTCGAGAACGCTCTCGAACGTGAAACGGGAGAGAGAGAAAAGAAAAACGGCGAAGAGAATTATGCGTATGCATCGAGTTCTTTGGCGAGCTGCTCGTTTGGTATCGACGGCACGTTCGCGGGCTTCAAGGTCCTCGATCGAAGATGAAGATTACTCGAAACTGGTCCCCGGCGATCTTCGTAAACCTCGAAAACGCGTACGGAAGAAGGAAGGGTGTACGATTAATACGTTCGATACTGGTGCGCGATATTTTAGCGGCCATTGCTCGTTACGGGGGGCGTGAAAACGACTGCGAGACGTTACGACGTGAAACGGGGCGCTATTCTCACCTGAAGAATACGGACGACGGCCACTAAGGTGTGGAACCAGCGTCGAATATCTGGCCGGGCTGCGCGTTCTATGCAAATTTTATGAAAATCGGTGGGGGAGGGCGGCCTGGAATAACAACCCTCGCGAGTGCAGTGGAGAGCATCGGGATATCGACGACGCGTTCGCGAAACACAGTAGAGAGACGTTGCTTCGATCGGACAGGTTCTCGCGACGAAGGATCCGCGTTCGGGTTTCCCGTGCGACCCATGAACCGTGTGGCACTCACCCGCGCGTCGCCACGCATCGATTCGCCGGGACCGAAAAACACGATGGCCCGGTAACGAGGTCTGAACCCCGAAAATCCTAATGCAAATCCCGGCCTAAAACAAAGTAGGATTTTATGAGTTTTCGTGGAAGTTATGCCGCGCGCGTACCCCGACCAAGAACCTGTTGCTTAGACGTTCTTCGGCATTGACCGAGCCGCTCCACGGCCAGGAACTCGTTCCTTGTGTCGTGCGCGTGCGTTCCGATCGATCGTCCCCGCGATAGGTACGTAATTTCCTTTGGCCCGAGAACTTTTCACTTTTTACTGGCGCAAAGTCGAAGCCGACGCCAGTATTCGTACGTCGTCTCGTTGCGGAGGCTCGCCGAGTTCCTTGGGCGAGCTAGCTCTCCGCTTGGGGATCGCGAGGGGCTATAGGAGGGTCTGGGAATCGTTTGCTCGAATTCGAGCCCGAACAGGTGTGAGATTGGTACGTCGAATAGATAGCCGATGGCGGAATCGTTTCGGCGACTCGCCTGGTATCTCTGTTGATAGGACGATTCGGAGGAAGGGTTCGCGTGTCCAGCGGGATGCGCGCGCCGTGTCTATCGACCTTCGCGAACGTCGTTGCCACGTGCGCGACCCAATGCGTCCCTGACTCGATTTCGGATGTGCCGTTCATTTTTCGACTATAGGCGATTCCACGGGGCCTAGATCGACCGTTCACGAGTCGTCGCTCTTCCATCGCTCTGAACCGTTTCGATTCGGTCGCGAACCCCCGAACTGGCCCCGAGTCGTGCTGGATAGGAACACCACTGCGAATGTGCTGGTGCTCGAGGTGCAGCAGCAGTGGTGGAGGCGGCGGTGCTAGTACCGGCGAGTGTAGCTGAGATCGATCCAACAACACCCTTCTTTCGACCGACCGACCGACCGACCGACCGACCGACCGACCGACCGACCGTCCATCCATCCACCAAGCAAGTCCACGAGACAGCGAGACAACAATTTCTCACACCCCCCTTAGCTTCACCTAGAGCGCGCGACTTACCCTACTCCGGTGGCCATTGAAATTGCATGAATCCGCTATACTGTTCAGACCGTGTTCGTGCTCGATACGCGCGTGCAAGCGAACAGACAGGAGTCCGGTGAACCTGGGGAAATAGCGCGGATCGGGAATGTGAGCTCGTTCACGCGCTAGTCAAGGCTAAACAGAGACAATTCTCGAACTCCCGTAAAACGAACCATGTGGTCTGCAGTCACGAGGTCTTTGGAAATACTGGTCGCTTTCTTCGAGTATTATACCACCAGGTAAGATGTGCGTGTTTCAACGATATCGATTCGGATTTAATTAAAGTATAATCGACGATACACACCGGACGCTATTGCTCCCTCGCGCGCAAATCTTCGGAGATGCGAGGCGGCTCCGGCTCCGCTTCCATTCGGGAGCCGCGTACTTTCCTTTGTTCTCTCGAGCTTCTCTACGCCTCGTGTCGCTCTATCAATCGATCTATCGGTTTCTTTGTCTCTACGTTTCTTTCTCTGCCTCTTCGTCTGTCTAACTATCCGCATCTCTCTCTCTCTCTCTCTCTCCCTCTCTCTCTATTTCTCTGTCTGTTTCTCGTACTCTAACTCTATCTCTGAGCTCTCTTTCTCTCTCTCTCGCTCTCTCTCGCTCTCTCTCGCTCTCTCACATTCTGCATCATTCTGTTCCTCTATTTAGCTTCGAATCACTCCGATTTTCCTTTTCGCCGCGTTACAAAGCGAGAAACTCGATAGCATCCGGTTCGAAGCGTCCGTTCGACTCTTCTTTTCCTCGGCTCCGGAGGAGCGAACAATCGCACCGCGGAACGATCAAAATTGACGGCCAGGATGACGGTCGCACATAGGCGTCCACACGTAGCGCTTCGTGACAACACACGTCTGGTCCCGACGGGACGAATTATCCTCTCCTTCGTCGGCGTGTTCTCTGGAAGCAGCCTCGTCGAAACCCATTAACTCCTGTCTCATTTTCTTTTGTTTCATGCCTACTTTTCGGCGTGTGTTACCGTTGGAATGCAGAGCCCAGTTGGAGTAAGTATGAACTGGCGAGAGACAAAAAAAAAGAAAAGAGAAAAAGAAAAGAAAAAACGAATAGAGAGAGAACTATCCTCCGGTTACGTTCGAGAGAACCGATTCTCATGCGATGTATGTTTTCTGTCTTCTTTCCATTCTCCTTCTTAAAAATGGGGAACGTTCCGTTCCACGGATGGCCGCCGCTTCGTTCCCTGTTATCTCGTAAGTAGCTCTCTCCTCTCTGTGTATTCGATCGAATATGTAATTCTGTTCCACCGTAGACCCTCCACAAATTCTACACAACACCACACGTGGAGAGAATCGTACACGCGTTTTAATGCCGACGCTCTTCTTCGAACGGATCGACTTGTTTTTCCGCCTCGTGATCTCGGTCGAGCTGCGACCAAGGGGCCCGGTCCAGAACCCTCTCCATAAACGACTCTCGCGTTTTCGCCGGGTCTTGTTTTGCATCGTAGCGCCATAGAAACCGTGGCATACGTGAAAACACGCGGTTTGCTTCGCAGCTTGCAAGCCTCTGCCAACACTTTACAATAGGACTTGTTCGTACCGTGATGCTCTTAGCCCTAGTAGACTTTCGTCCCGGTCGTCGTTGTCGTCCGTTTGTTACGCGAGCTTTTCACCTGCTAATCGCGATGTTTTCTGCTCGCGCGAACATCGGGGCGGATAAATGCTCGTGGTTAAATTCGACGAGCCGTCTCGTTCGTCTCCGTTTTGGAACACGGCGAAGGACTCCGCCGAGGGAATCAATTTCTCTCGCTCTTCTCCCCAATGAAAATCTGCGTCTGCATGAAGGTCCGCAGTGTACGCCTATCGTTTTTCGAGCGAACGATACGACAGCGTTAGGAGGGGGACGATGCGATCGCGTACTTATCGCTGGCAATATGTATCAATTCGCGAACGTTGCACGCCTGCAGCGATCGGCGCGACGCGCCGGACAGTCGTTATGACCACTTGCCTACGTTATCGGACCGTGGCCGTGGTTTGATAACGGCGATACATTTAGGTTTCGAATCAATACTTGCGCATCGATGCGTTGCCGGGGCTCGTTTCGAAACGGTTTGGAACAACAGCCAACCCGCCGGGCGATATCGGTTTTATATCGGCCGACAGACATTTTTCTGCAACTCCGGCTTTTCGCGGAACGGCCAGCACGATCGGGGATTTCGTGCGGGAACTCCGCGGACCGTGAACAACCAACCGTTCCCGTTAATTATAGAACGAAACAAAATTAGTGGCCCGGAGGCGTCGAGCAAGCGATCATAACAGCTGTCCGGTCGACACCGATCGCTACAGGCTTGGAACGTTCGGGGCGATCGGAGTGGGGTGGACAGCTGTTACGACTAGACTGCGGAACTTTATGCAAATTCGCATTTTCATAGGCAAATTCGATGAGGCTCGAATTAAGTAAGATTCTGTCGGGCGTGAGTTCCGCGCCGCGTATATATATGTATATATATATCTCCTTTAAATCATTGTGTCAGCCGGAAGACTTTTCCTTAAAGTCGCGAGCTTTCATATAAAAGTTTCGGGTCATATTGGCCCGAGCACAGGGGAGGGTTAAGCTAGGCGAACGAGGGTTGGACGAGGGTTGAAACTTGCCCGACAAGCCAATTGGCTTCCACCGAGGCATAAGCTAAATAAAACGATCCGAGGATTCAACCCTTTCGGTGCCAGATACCCCATCTACACGCGAAGAATGCCACTATTCATACGAGCGATACATACAACGTTCCGTGGCATTTTTCGCGTAAGTACCGAAGCATCGGAATGGCTTGAATTTACTCTAATCTTAATTTAGCCGAGGTCGGTAATTCTTAGATACAGTAGAACCTCTATTATTATTATCATTATTTATGATATGCGGCCGATATAAATCCGTCGGAATCTGCATAAAGATACATAAAGCGTTCGAAACTTTGAGCTTGGAACGATTTATTAACACGTTAAGTGTCGAGAATGAACTTCGGAAATTCCCATAAAATCGATGCAATTCCGTTCATGAAACCGAAACTAGAGACTTAACCTCTTGCCGTGCTTTAACGAGTCTCTAACTCTTTTAATAGAGATTTCTCTTGAAACTGTATATTATTTTGTTCTTTCAAGTTCATCTGAATTTTACTTCTTTTCTCCAGAAATTTACTTACAGAAATTTACAATATTTTCTTTTCAAAGAAAAAAGAGTAAATTATTTCGATTGAGAAACTTCTAGTCATCATGACTGTAAAGAAAATAGTACGGCAAGGGGTTGAACTTGTCACAGGGGATGGTATTTTATCTCTTTTGCATTCTGAGCGTCCCAGTAAAATTCATTTTTTTTCAATATATTACAATACAAGTGAACCTCGAAACCAAATTATTACGTACATAATTTTATTACAATTTTATCATAATTTTATATATATTATAATTTTATCATAATTTTATATATATTGTAATTTTATCATAATTTTATATTATAATTTTATTATAATTAATTATTACTATATGTACTATTATGGACTATTCGATCTAAGTCGATTCATACGTGATGCGCTCTACAAAACAGTAAAGAATTACCATGTCACCCTAACAGATGATTTCTATAGCCGAGGTTCCACTGTAACCGATCCTCGGAAAGTAACATTTCTCTTTCGCTCGTGGTTATTATCGCGCCGATGGTCTTCCCGCGTGGGAAGATTATTATCGATGTAAATCGAACGAATGCGATCGTAAAGGCCCAAGAGCCCAGAATCATCGTCCCCCGGTCTTATCGTTCGGATAACCAGAAATCGAGCTCGGTAGCCTCGTGAAAAGCAGACGACAGCGACGAAAAGAGGAAGAGGGTAGCAGTAGCGGTACGGGTGGGGGGTCAGGGTGCGAGATGACCAGGTAATTGGACAGATGACTCTGCTTCAGAACGACCGGCAGCCCGGCGAACAAACCGGCGGCTTCCGGTGGCGGACTCGGAGGCGGAGGCGTCGGAGGCGTCGGAGGGACGAGCGCGGGCGGAACCGTTCTTGCAGCGACCGGATCGGCATCGGGAACGGTCTTAGGGTGCGGCGGCAGCGGGTCCACCGCTTCAGGGTCTGGCGCGAGTAGTTCGGGCCCGGGTACAGGCAATGCGAACGCAAGCACCAGTGGCATGGCCGGTGGCAACCCGGTTTCCGGTAGCAGCGCCGGCAGCATGGTCGCCGGGGCCGGCGAGCCACGCACCCCCACCGCAGGAGCGCAAAACAAACAGCTGCAGAACGTCAAAGGAGATCATCCCTCGGTTTGTTCTAGTTTCTAGCTTCTGGCTTCCAGCTTCTAGTTTCTAGTTTCTAGTTTCTAGTTTCTAGTTTCTAGTTTCTAGTTTATACCGGCCACACCGGCGCGATTAGGCCGCTGGGAAATAAACGACGATCGGCGGTCTCGTGTTTCAACCCGTGGCAAAGTAGGGTCACTCGGGGAACCTCGATACCAGTTGCCGTTTTATGGCATTCGGCGATCGTTGAAAATAAATTGCTCGATATGGTTACGTTCTCGTAACCCACGAGTTTCCCCAATCGAGGGTTCCTGTTTCGATCAGAGAAATTGATTTAACCCTGAACTGGTACCACGCTTACTCGGACTACGAAGCACGGTAAATTCTCCCTAATTGACGCTCGGCTTGGAAACGATAACGGACGATTTGGGTAGAGAAGGTACGATGTTCCAGTCTTGCAGCTCGTTTTTATTGTTGTTGACAATCGGTGACTGTAAAAACGAACCGCAAGGACCGGATAATCGTATCTCCTTTTCCCAAATTGTCCATTTTTATGCGCAAGCTGAGCGTCGATTAGAGAGAATTTACTGTACCGTTCTCGAATGTTTCTCAGAATTCGAGACAAATTCATCAAAATGTTGTTAAATATTGTATAGTTCAATCCTGTGCGCTATAATATCGTACATAGGCTCGTTACGAAGATTCGGAACTTGATGTACCGAATATGGGTATTATTCGAAATAAATTTTTACTTTCTTATTATCAATGTTTAAACATCGAAGTAAACGTTGGCGTACGATAAACGGTTCGGAAGCCGATCAGTGTGAGTCCACTATACTTTGAAAATGATTTACAGAGCAAACCGGTCGAGAAATCAATGCAGTCGATTTCTTTGGAAATAAAGAATAGATAGCAGCATGTATATTGACCACGAAATGACTAAACAAAATTGTTAAGAGGAGATCGTTTTTTTTCTATAGAAGACATTGACATTTTACTTTTGTTTCTCTGCTGGTTATGTTTATTTGTACGACATCTTCTAATAAAAATTATACTTTGCATTATTACTAGCATTGTTATTATTTACAGCTAACTTGTATAATCTTTATCTCGATCTTAAGGTTAATGGACTTACACCGATAGGCTTCCGTGCCGTCCAAACGTAGATTATGTCTCGCGTGAGAATTGAACACGTCAAGTTCCAAAAATCGATCCTCAAAATTCCTACAAAATCGATGTAATTTAATGAACGAAACTGATANTTCTAGTTTCTAGTTTCTAGTTTCTAGTTTCTAGTTTCTAGTTTCTAGTTTATACCGGCCACACCGGCGCGATTAGGCCGCTGGGAAATAAACGACGATCGGCGGTCTCGTGTTTCAACCCGTGGCAAAGTAGGGTCACTCGGGGAACCTCGATACCAGTTGCCGTTTTATGGCATTCGGCGATCGTTGAAAATAAATTGCTCGATATGGTTACGTTCTCGTAACCCACGAGTTTCCCCAATCGAGGGTTCCTGTTTCGATCAGAGAAATTGATTTAACCCTGAACTGGTACCACGCTTACTCGGACTACGAAGCACGGTAAATTCTCCCTAATTGACGCTCGGCTTGGAAACGATAACGGACGATTTGGGTAGAGAAGGTACGATGTTCCAGTCTTGCAGCTCGTTTTTATTGTTGTTGACAATCGGTGACTGTAAAAACGAACCGCAAGGACCGGATAATCGTATCTCCTTTTCCCAAATTGTCCATTTTTATGCGCAAGCTGAGCGTCGATTAGAGAGAATTTACTGTACCGTTCTCGAATGTTTCTCAGAATTCGAGACAAATTCATCAAAATGTTGTTAAATATTGTATAGTTCAATCCTGTGCGCTATAATATCGTACATAGGCTCGTTACGAAGATTCGGAACTTGATGTACCGAATATGGGTATTATTCGAAATAAATTTTTACTTTCTTATTATCAATGTTTAAACATCGAAGTAAACGTTGGCGTACGATAAACGGTTCGGAAGCCGATCAGTGTGAGTCCACTATACTTTGAAAATGATTTACAGAGCAAACCGGTCGAGAAATCAATGCAGTCGATTTCTTTGGAAATAAAGAATAGATAGCAGCATGTATATTGACCACGAAATGACTAAACAAAATTGTTAAGAGGAGATCGTTTTTTTTCTATAGAAGACATTGACATTTTACTTTTGTTTCTCTGCTGGTTATGTTTATTTGTACGACATCTTCTAATAAAAATTATACTTTGCATTATTACTAGCATTGTTATTATTTACAGCTAACTTGTATAATCTTTATCTCGATCTTAAGGTTAATGGACTTACACCGATAGGCTTCCGTGCCGTCCAAACGTAGATTATGTCTCGCGTGAGAATTGAACACGTCAAGTTCCAAAAATCGATCCTCAAAATTCCTACAAAATCGATGTAATTTAATGAACGAAACTGATACCAGAATGCTCACAATCGTTGGCGGTATTTTAACTCTTTCGCATTCTTAACGTCCTACGCAAATTCAGCATGTTTGAATATGTAACAGCAGCAATTATATAATAATCAAAATTAGTATCTACCATCCATACGTGAGCACTTAACTCCAACGCGTCTATTAATACTTGTTTGTCGTTATTAACTCCAACGCAGCACTTAATAACGACGAATAAGTATTAATAGACACATATAATATTCAAAGAGGTGATAATATTCCATAGAAGTTGAATCAACGGCGTACTTGCAATTGTTGTGCAAGACCGTAGCGAAAAGCGATGATTAACAGTAACCGCACCCAGCGCTGAAACTAATTAATATGCGTTGCCTTATAAAAATGAGAAGATTGAATTTATTTAGATTTTCTGCAATTTTTTTATATTAACACGTGTTCGGGTGAATACATTTGTGTAACGATTTCCGGTGGAAGCGTCTTTTATCATTTCAATACTCGTAGAATAAAAATGGTGGAACCGGTGGTTTGGTACGCTCGCTGTTAACAATAACGATCAGAGGAAGGCGTTCACTGAGAAAAGGTGTAACGGTACTTTTCCATACGTCTTATCAATCCTGTAATCGATGACAGGACGGCGAAAATGTTGTTCGAAAAAAAATTACTCGCCTCCTCGAAGGTTCTAGAACGTCGATCGTTTCACCTTGGTGGGCCATGGGGGTTGAGGATAATTTAAAGCGTACCATCCGAAATATCCGCCCTGCCTTGGCTAGTTTATTTTAAGTGATTTGAGCCGACGAGCGAAAGGTGCTTTCTTAATCGATAGACTTTTAAACGGCGAGGTACGTACATGCGCACGTACACACATATATGTACACAGTCGTTAGGGCTCGAGTCATCAATCTCCGCTACCTTGATTAGGAGATACCTATGACGGGCTTGTCCCGTGACCTTGAGACGAATTTTTGCTCGAACAAGCTTCTCGATATCCGACAGGACTGTGACACGCTCGGGCGACATTCTGCGGAAAATTGAGTCGCGAGACTAACGAAGCCGTCGAGAATAAAATGTACACTCGGAACGACCCCGCCGAGACGTATATTTTCCTTCTCAGGCTGGAAACAAAGGAGTACTTAATCAATGTGGAGGAGTCGCCGGGAACAAACGAAGGAGCCTCGTTCGTATTAGACGGCAGATTACAATTCCGGCGCGACGCGTAACAGCAACGCGAACATTTCGAATGATTCCGCGGACCGTTGCCTCCGTGGCAGAAGTTTTACTGCTCCAGACACAATGGTCTCGATGTTTCGCGCGGCGCAGGAAGTTTGATCGGGCAAAGAATACACCGTCGGAGATAAATCGGGCGCACGGGTTCGCGGGCTAATTTATTTATTGCGTTGTGCCCCAGTTTGAACCCGCGCACCAACGCTATTCGCAAGTCATGGTCACTCGGGTTCGGAACAACCTGTGCGCGCGGCTTCGAGCGTCCGCGAATAATGGAACGAAACGGCGCGATTAGCCTATACATATTTACCGCCGCGTTGAAATGTAAGCAGACGAAGACCGGTTATAGCCCGTCGAGCCCGGACAAGCCATTTGTTTCCGGGCATCCTAATATTATTCTTTCTTGATCGGAGGGTCGACAGGGATAACGGAGATTCGCGCGACACGCCGGAGAGGAAGCCTTGTATCGTTTCGCCGAAGATAAGACGGCGATGAAAGGAAAACATCGATCGATCTCCGTTCTCTTTTTCTTTTTTTCCAGAAAGCATTCCTGCAGAGCAGATCCATGTCGTTGGTCGACATGTACATCGACAACTCGGAGCCCAGCGAGAACGTCGGTCAAATACACTTCAGCCTGGAGTACGATTTCCAAAATACAACGCTTATCCTTCGTATCATACAAGTCAGTGTCCTCTCTCTCTCTCTCTCTCTCTCTCTCTCTCTCTCTCTCTCTCTCTCTCCGACTGCTTTTACTTCTGTCGCGTGTCACCTTGTCGTTCTCATCGATTTCGAAGTAATAAATCGAAATGCCGGGAACGAGAGAAACGAAAGCGGGACGAAGCCAAGGGACTAGACGGTAGTATACATAGATTCCGTTTGATTCCAGGGCAAAGATTTGCCGGCGAAGGATCTGTCCGGGACGTCCGACCCTTACGTTCGTGTCACCCTTCTGCCGGACAAGAAGCATCGACTCGAGACCAAAATAAAGAGGCGCACGCTCAATCCACGCTGGAACGAAACGTTTTACTTCGAAGGTAAACTGAACACGACCCGTGCGACCAGGTCGTCCGTACGACCGAGTCTAAGGCTCGATCGTTTTACGCCATCGTGTACGCTATTCGTTCGCTGTTTACAGGTTTCCCGATTCAGAAATTGCAGAGCAGAGTACTGCACTTACACGTGTTCGACTACGACCGATTCTCGAGGGATGATTCAATCGGAGAGATATTCCTGCCGCTCTGCCAGGTACAATTATCATTAATGCCGACGTTCCTGTACATACTTTTCGGAATCCCGCGGATATGAACCCCTCGGTCTATATTGTTAGCGTATATTGTTTACGAGCGTCGAGCAAGCATGTTCGCTTTAACCCTTTGCCCTATAATCACATCTGAGAGACGCGGTCAGATAATCGGGCAGGAAGTGATTATCACGTCTGAGAGACGCGGTCAGATAATCGGACAGGAAATGAGAGACGTGGTCAAAAGGTCGGGCGAGAAATGATTATCACGTCTGAGAGACGTGGGCAAATAATCGGGCCAGAAATGATTATCACGCCTGAGAAACTTGGGCAAATAATCGGGTGAGAAATGATTATCACGTCCGAGAAACGTGGTCAAAAGATCGGGCGAGAAATGATTATCACGTCTGAGAGACGTGGACAAAAGATCGGGCCAGAAATGATTATCACGTCTGAGAGGCGTGGGCAACAGATCGGGACAAAAATGATTATCACGTCTGAGAGACGTGGTCAAAAAATCGGGCGAGAAATGATTATCACGTCCGAGAGGCGTGATCAAAAAATCGGGCCAGAAATGATTATCACGTCTGAGAGACGTGGTCAAAAAATCGGGCGAGAAATGATTATCACGTCCGAGAGGCGTGATCAAAAAATCGGGCCAGAAATGATTATCACGTCTGAGAGACGTGGTCAAAAGATCGGGCGAGAAATTATCACGTCTGAGAAACATGGGCAAATAATCGGGCCAGAAATGATTATCGCGTCCGAGAGACGTGGGCAAAAAATCGGGCCAGAAATGGAAGCCGTGGTGCGTCAGTCGGGCCAAATATAATCATAGCTAATTAGGCTCGTGTAATTAGACTAGGGAATACGTGTTTCGTGGCTTTTCGTTTTTCGTCATTTCATTGTTTTATTAGTAGCTAAAAGTTTATTTTTTAGTAGCTAACGCGTCCTGCGATTTTTGCGATCTTTAATTGTTTACAGCTCGTGCGAAGGTCAACCGATTTCGGTGAAATTTTTAACGTGCTTATAACTTACCGAGATCTACAAAACAAATTTGTTCAATTTTAAAAGAGTTTTTTATTTTCATTTATCGTTCTAAGCAATAGCAACCTTTGAAAAAAGCATTCTGATTATGGTCTAGTAGAGTGGTCGCTCCATCATCTAAGCAAAAAATTCAAGCCTTGAATAGTGTTTGGATATTAACGGGGGAAGTCATTGAATTTATATTTCGTAAAACGCGTACGATTGTCGCAACTTCAGACGTTTCGCGCAACCGTGAAAAGACTCGGCGTGTGACCGACCCTGTCATTGTTTGCGGTACACGTTATTGAAATTTAAATCGTTGAGCGAGGGGTTAAAAGTGGGTTAAAAGGGGTTAAAGGGGGTTAAAAGAGACTCTCATAATACAGTAAATTCTCCCCAATTGCCTCTTGGCTTGTAAACAAAAATGGATAACATGAGACGCGGGGATACGATTATTCGAGCCTCGCGGCTCGTTTTTACAGTTGTTGATAATCGTGTCCCCGCGCTTTCCAAGTTGTCCATTTTTTCCCCTCGGGAACAATTGGGAAGAATTTACTGTAGTTGGTTCAACGCATATAAAAAAATAATACTGCGCGTTGTTGGTTGTTCGCTTTCCACGCGTCGAGAGAAATTGCCTGGGATATACAATATATACAATTTAACAAAGCCGCAGATTGCATTTTCGCAAAGGAAAAAGTTACTTAGAATGACCTCAGCTACCCCACATTTCCGTATTGCGAGACATTTTTGGAACACCCTGTATAATTTCGTGGAGATACAACGTGTCACGTGAACTCTGTTCACTTAACCGTTCGAGTCCCAGGGGTTGTTCACAAAACACGGTCGAAAAGTGTCGAACAGCGTGATAGCGCTTGTCTTAATTGATTGCGAAGAGAACCAAGCGGCGCGATAGCGCTCGTCAAGATTGACAAACAAAACAAACAGAAAAAAAAGAAAAGTAAAGCAGCTATGCGATGAACGCGCGTCGCTAAAGTTTGACGCGACACAAAATCTGAACAGCTTGGGACTCGAACGGTTAAACATCTTGGTTGTTTCAAGCAATGCGAGGAAATATTACTTATAAAAGTTATAGCATTTAACCAGTTAACTGTGACGATCTCTTTCCAAAGCGTCCATCGGTGTGTGTCGCGATAAGCTCTCGCGTCGCGACGAGTTAGCACTCAGGAAGTTACGAATCCAACTCAAATTATTTATAATTTTCATTTGTTTGTTTCATTTCGTCTTGACCTCTAAACATTTTAAACATATTAAAATTTATACGAATATAATTTAGTTTTCGCCAGAATTACAATTTAAATATCAAATTGTAACAAAATTTTACGAATGACGGATATAATCGTCATGACACAAAATTCTGCCACATCTCCGTGACGGATATAGTCGTCAAACACACTTAACTGGTTAAGAAAGTACATAATACGTATAATATAAATGGTATTTCTGCAAGTTCGTATGCTCGACTTCGATAGATCGGCGTGTTCCGAGTATACAAGTATGTACTAAGGTGCACTTGTCCTAAAACTTACAGTTTCTGAGATGTTCCAACGATATAAGACGTGTACGGAACGCAACAGTTCAAAGACTACGACGGTGTATCGCGGCGGATGGCCGACATTTCGAACACGTTTCGCGAAAAAGTTAAATATGTATCTCAGAAACGGTGAGTTGTAGGACAAATGCGCCTTAGTACTTTTATACTGAGAGTACGGCAATCTATCGAAATCGAGCATAAAGGATCCATGTCCATTGAAAAAAAAGAAAGAAAACAAAGTCGATATTATATTACGTACTTTCTGGTAAACCGCATAACTTTTGTAACTAACATTTTATCGCATCCACTGAAACAACCAAGATATATAAGTGAGACACGCTGTATACAGTAATGTCTCCCTAACTGACGCTTAGATTGTGCAGAAAAATGGACAATGTGGGAACAGGAGATACGATTATTCCAACTTTGCATCATGTTTTTATAATCGTTGACAATCGGTAACTATAAAAACAAGTCGCAAGGCTCCTCTTTCCAAATTGTCCATTTTTGTGGACAATCTGAGCGTCAATTAGGGAGACATCACTGTACTCCCCAAAAAACCCTGTATCGGAAAGAGTACTGTATAAAACAGGGGTTGGCCAAAGCGTTGGAGGTTGTCAATAACTATTCCTAGTCGCCAATAACTATTCCGTCTGTCTGATATCATCTATGTTTATTTGAAATTTAAACTTATACTACTTTTCTTACGATCACTTAACACAGACGATATTGCTAGACCGCCGCATATAATTTAAAAAAAACGGGCGCCCATAGCGATCAAAAGTTTGGCCACCCCTGATATAAAATTATCGCGATCCGATTTCGATGTCCAACGCGACGGAACGATTTCGAAGATTCTGAACGTAGGGTGCCAACGACCCTAGAGACTTTTGATCGAATCTTGTTTCCGGAAGCCGCAAAATTTATTCAAGGACCGTGGTAGTCCCCGCAGCCCCCAAAGCGCCCAAGAAGCCTATCTGATGTCATCTATGTTTATTTGAAATTTAAATTTATACTACTTTTCTTACGATCACCTAACCCAGACGATATTGCTAGACCGCCGCCTATAATTGAAAAAAACCGGGCACCTATAGCGATCAAAAGTTTGGCCACCCTTAATATAAATTTATCGCGATCCGATTTCGATGACCCTAGAGACTTTTCATTGAATCTTGTTTTCATTGAATCTTCTGGAAGCCGCAAAATTTATTCGAGGTCTCTGGTAGTCCCTGCAGTCCCCAAAGTGCCCAAGAAGCGACCGGCACTCCTCGACCGGGTCAAACAACCCTCGGTCGATTGATAACAACGTTGCGACACGTTTTATTCGACTCCCGGAACTATTATTCTCGATATTGAGGTTCGAGCGAAGTGCGCGACATGCGGGTAGCTGTCTAGCCTCAGACTATGCTAAATGTCTATTTTCTTTGCCGCAAAATTTATTCGAGGACCCTGGTAGTCCCTGCAGCCCCCAAAGTGCCTAAGAAGCCTATCTGATATCACCTATGTTTATTTAAAATTTAAACTTATACTGCTTTTCTTACGATCACTTAATACAGACGATGTTGATAGACCGCCGCCTATAATTGAAAAAAAACGGGCGCCCATAGCGATCAAAAGTTTTACCACCCCTAATACAAATTTATCGCGATCCGATTTCGATGACCCTATAGACTTTTCATTGACTCTTGTTTCTGGAAGCCGCAAAATTTGTTCGAGGCCCCTGGTAGTCCCTGCAGTCCCCAAAGTGCCCAAGAAGCGACCGGCACTCCTTGACCGGGTCAAACAAACGTTTTATTCGACTCCCGGCACCCCTATTATTCTCGATATTGAGGTTCGAGCGAAGTGCGCGACATGCGGGTAGCTGTCTAGCCTCGAATTATGCTAAATGTCCGGCTGTGTAGCTATAGATGACCGTCGATGACCGATGCTGACCGATGCTGACCGCGTCCGACCGCGCCCGCGTCGTCGCTCGCACAATTCGCTAATCGATTCGATTGCCGTAGGTCGACTTTTCGGAGAAGCCCTCGTTCTGGAAGGCCCTGAAGCCTCCGGCGAAGGACAAGTGCGGTGAGCTGTTGTGCTCGTTGTGCTACCATCCGAGCAACTCCGTGCTGACCATAACGTTACTGAAGGCGAGGAACCTCAAAGCGAAAGACATCAATGGGAAATCAGGTGAGCACGCGGACGCCGTAGCTCGGGTCGAGCGGTTCGATGACCGTTGCTCTATTCGCAGATCCGTACGTGAAGGTCTGGCTGCAATTCGGCGACAAGAGGATCGAGAAACGGAAGACCCCTATATTTAAGTGTACCTTGGATCCGGTGTTCAACGAGGCGTTCTCTTTCAACGTTCCCTGGGAGAAGATCCGAGAGTGTTCATTGGACGTGATGGTCATGGACTTCGATAATATCGGAAGAAACGAGCTGATCGGCCGGATTCAGCTGGCAGGTAAGCCGATTCGGATACCGCCTGGGTCTATTTATACGGGAAAGCCGGTCGGAATTATTTTAGCTCTCGTTGTGTCTCCCGTGCCGAGAGCCGCTTCGTTAAAGCTTATAGATATTTTCTACTTATAGCTCACTTTTTTCGCCACTTCCGAGACCTGAATAAATAGATCGAACGATCCTTTTCAATAAAAAAAGAAAAAAAAACAAAACCGACGGTGCCTCGGTTTTCATTCAGGTTCTTGCAACGACCCACGCTATCGTCGCAAAGACCGCGATCGAAAATCGTGCTTGCTTGCGGTGAGTCGGGTTTGTGTGTGGTCTTTTTTTTCTGGAGCTTGTCGGGTCTGGTTGCAGGGAAGAACGGCAGCGGGGCGAACGAAACGAAACACTGGCAGGACATGATCACGAAGCCACGGCAGACGGTCGTCCAGTGGCACCGGCTCAAGCCGGAGTAAAGGGGACGGAAGTTAAAAAAAAACAAAAAACAAACGTAGGCGCACGCGACTCTTGGATTTCGCGGGAGCGAAAATTCATCGTCATACCTTTGAAACCAGTACCTCCCGGTCTCTCGAACCTTGCTAAACTCTGAAGAAATATTCCTTGTCTTCCGACGATGCGATACCGACCGAAATCGTCTCGACTCGCAACGCGATCGAGTCGCCTCGGTTTCGGGTCCGAACGTCGACCAAACAAAAAACGTGTACGTTTTCCGTTGTTGCGTTTTTTCACGGGACGAATTAATCGCGTCGTCGGCGAACGGTAAAACAAGCGAACGCGCGAGGACAGATCGTCTTCTTTCGCGGTTGTATTTACTATATCCTCGCGGAAGAAACCGGAATGAAATTCGGGGGACTCCGGATCGGGAGTTCCTCGCAGTCGAGACTCGAGACGAGACGGATCGAATCGGTTCGAATCGGTTTCGGACGTAGCGATCGGACAGGATCGGAAACACAGAACGGTACGGGACCGAGCAGACAGTATCAAGACATTTCCAGTAGATGGTTTCGAATCGAACGAGAAGAATTCCGTGAGGCGAACTCGATTTCCGTTTGAACCGTGTCGACTCCTTCATTTTGCGATCGACTCGTTCTCGTATCGACGTCGGTACATTTCGTTCGTTCCCGGTCACCAGGATACTTCCGGTCGTTCTGTTCTCAATCATTCTCTCTCTCTCTCTCTCTCTCACACTCTCTCTCTCTCTCTCTGTCTCTCCGTCTGTCTCTCCCTCTGTCATTTTCTTCTCACTCTTTCTTCGCTCCCTTTTTTTCACGACTATCTCACTCTCTCTATCTCTGTCTCTCTTTTTTAGTACGCGACAACGATTCTCGACAAAAGTGTGTCGAATTCACCTTTGACTCGTACGTTATCGAGCTCGTTTTCCACGCAAGATTGCGTGCCGCGCGGCGTGTATATGTACGTACATCGAGCGGCCAAGACGCTCGACGAACGGCGACCGATCGATGTTACTTTCGCGACTTTATTGACATTTACATCGAACGTTATTTTTATGGCTGTTTTGCACGCGTAAGTACGTACCGAGTACGTAATACCGTTGCTTCGAAGTACCCGTCGGCTCGACGCGACCCAGCATTTTCTATGTCTCGTATTATCCGGTGTCTTTCGATTCCAGCATCGTGAACGGGAGGGAAAGATCGTTTATGCGGACGCGTCTTTCAAACGAACGAATCTCTTGTCTTTCGCGCCGATTTCTGCCCCGCGATCCGAAGGTGGTCCGTGGTCGACCTGAAACGAGCTTCGACCACTCATCGATTCGATGATATCTACACGATCTATTTTCTTTGCTCGAGTCTCTTTACCGTCTTCCTCCATTCTCGCGACCGTCTCGCGTCCGCTTGCGGATTGTCCGCGCATCGTCGAAAGGTCGAATCTTCTCGTTATTGTCGCAGTCGTCCTTCCTGTTCCACCAGCTATTCTATTCTATTCTTACCTATTATGTTCTATTCTATTCTGTCCAGAATTTTCCCCGCCCACATATCGTTCATCTTCGTCAATAATCTCTGTCTTTCTCTCTCTCTCTCTCTCTCTCACTCTGTCTGTTTCTCTCTCTCTCTCTCTTCTCTCTTTCTCTCCTCTCTCTCTCTCTCTCTCTCTCCTGTTTCCTCTCTCGCCATCGAACGTCGCAAACTGAAATTTGACGATTGATCGGAACGGGACACCGGAACACAATGTTGAATTCTTACTAGTAGAAAACGATAAAGCAGCGATATTTTTGACGGAACTTTTGTATCGACAAAGTCGGAGTTTTTTGGAAGCGACGATAAAATTGTGATCGGTGTTATACCCTGAATTAATCTTAAGCGTTACACATCCAAACTAGTTTGCTGTTGTTGACGATAAAAAAAAAACCGTAGTACCGATCAGACAGTGATCGCAAAAAGAAAACCCGTGTTTCCGTGCGCGCGCGCGTGCTCGCGCGTACGCGGGCGATCGAGATCCCGCGTCGCGCGCGTACAACAAACTTGAGATGAATAAAAACACAGTATATAACAGAGAGCAAAGAGAAACAAAAAAAAAGCGAAAAACCAACTAAAAGAAAAAACAAAACATGTGTTTGCGCTCGGGGAGCATGAGTGTGCGTGTGCAATTTTTGCGTCTGCGATATTTGCGTTAGTGTTTGCGTTTAGTGTTTGCGTTAGTGTTTGCGTTAGCGTTTGCGTGCGCGGTTCCAGACAGACACCGCACGACCGAACAGAGTCAAACAAGACACACACAGGAGAGAACAGAAACAGAAGTAAAAGGACACGGCGTCGGAACGAGTATAGCGTGCGAGACCACGGGGGAGCGTGCGGCGCTCCGTGGACGCGGATAGATGCGTGCGCGACTCGAAACATGCACGATACAAATTTGCATCGCCGCATCGTCGCAGGCGAGCACACCCGTGCGCGTTGTCGAGTGTCTTCCGGGGCGAGAAAGATCCGTGGATTCGCATCGTTCCGTCGCGAACGCCTCCAGCCGCGTCTCCAGACAGCTACGATTCCTCGACACCACGCGATTGCAAGCGATCGCAAGCGTTTGCGATCGCTCGCAACGTGCATTCTTGCTGTTTCAGGCTCGGAAGCACGACGCGCGCAACGCGACACTCGTTTGCCAGGATTCGGACACATCCGCACGTACACGCATCGCATCTGTGTACACCCAAGTATCCTCTAGCACAAAGGGAAAACCGTTAGACTAACGTTTGTATGTCATAGTCCAATGTGTATCGCGGCGTTCCCTCCGTAGCGTCGCGCGACTCGGCGCCGCTGAGAATAGTTCCCGCGCGACGTTGCGGAGGAAACGTCGCGCGTTAAAAACGATGCCGCTCGAGCCGAGGCCCCTGGTTCCTCTGACCATTCGAAGTTTGAATGATCGCGTTCGATCTTGCGCTGTGCGACATCGTCGACCAATGTCGACGTTCGTCCTCGGGCGACCGAGCTTGCTCGTCGACGACGACGAAAGAAGCGCTCGCGCGTCCGCTTCCGGTGGTTTGCGACCCATCTCGGTAACGTGCGCGCTGGCGCGACATCGAATCAAGTGCCAAAATCTCTAATCGACGACGGAGGCCAAGTCGAACGAGAGAGAGAGAGAGAGAGGGAGAGAGAGAAAGCGCGATGGAGAAGGGGGAGGAAGGAGAGAGAGAAAGGAAGAAAGAAAAAGAGGGAGTGAGGAACTGAGAGCGTTCGAGCGCATCGCGAGAATCTCTGTTCAGCGTTTTGGGACCGGGCACGGACGGAGGTAGCCCGAAAAGAGCGACAAGATGGCCGCCGACCGTGCCTGTGCCGCACCGGGCGTAGACCAACGACACAGCGACGGCCAGTGGTTTCTTATCCAGCGGCGATCATCGAACACGCGGCCAGGTGATTCGTCGGTCGAGCAATCGGTAGGGAACGTTGCGATTTCATGAGAAAANGAACAGAAACAGAAGTAAAAGGACACGGCGTCGGAACGAGTATAGCGTGCGAGACCACGGGGGAGCGTGCGGCGCTCCGTGGACGCGGATAGATGCGTGCGCGACTCGAAACATGCACGATACAAATTTGCATCGCCGCATCGTCGCAGGCGAGCACACCCGTGCGCGTTGTCGAGTGTCTTCCGGGGCGAGAAAGATCCGTGGATTCGCATCGTTCCGTCGCGAACGCCTCCAGCCGCGTCTCCAGACAGCTACGATTCCTCGACACCACGCGATTGCAAGCGATCGCAAGCGTTTGCGATCGCTCGCAACGTGCATTCTTGCTGTTTCAGGCTCGGAAGCACGACGCGCGCAACGCGACACTCGTTTGCCAGGATTCGGACACATCCGCACGTACACGCATCGCATCTGTGTACACCCAAGTATCCTCTAGCACAAAGGGAAAACCGTTAGACTAACGTTTGTATGTCATAGTCCAATGTGTATCGCGGCGTTCCCTCCGTAGCGTCGCGCGACTCGGCGCCGCTGAGAATAGTTCCCGCGCGACGTTGCGGAGGAAACGTCGCGCGTTAAAAACGATGCCGCTCGAGCCGAGGCCCCTGGTTCCTCTGACCATTCGAAGTTTGAATGATCGCGTTCGATCTTGCGCTGTGCGACATCGTCGACCAATGTCGACGTTCGTCCTCGGGCGACCGAGCTTGCTCGTCGACGACGACGAAAGAAGCGCTCGCGCGTCCGCTTCCGGTGGTTTGCGACCCATCTCGGTAACGTGCGCGCTGGCGCGACATCGAATCAAGTGCCAAAATCTCTAATCGACGACGGAGGCCAAGTCGAACGAGAGAGAGAGAGAGAGAGGGAGAGAGAGAAAGCGCGATGGAGAAGGGGGAGGAAGGAGAGAGAGAAAGGAAGAAAGAAAAAGAGGGAGTGAGGAACTGAGAGCGTTCGAGCGCATCGCGAGAATCTCTGTTCAGCGTTTTGGGACCGGGCACGGACGGAGGTAGCCCGAAAAGAGCGACAAGATGGCCGCCGACCGTGCCTGTGCCGCACCGGGCGTAGACCAACGACACAGCGACGGCCAGTGGTTTCTTATCCAGCGGCGATCATCGAACACGCGGCCAGGTGATTCGTCGGTCGAGCAATCGGTAGGGAACGTTGCGATTTCATGAGAAAACAAAAAAAAAAAAAAACAGAAAACGTAATAAAAGAAAAACACACACACACACTGTTCCGTCGCGATCTTAGAACGCGCGTTAATTCTAAACTGATTTTTAGAGCCAAACGAATCGTACGAGATACGTAGGGTATACAGCTAAGTACGCGTTATAGTTCGAACTGGATGAGAATTGGGCCTTATACCATGGATTACCTCAATCGTAAACAGCTTACGAATCAAGTTCGAGTTTGCGATAACGTTTTAGCGAGCGTTTAATAGGATTTTAATACGCGCGAGAGAGAAAACGCGTCGTTGCTCGACGTTTACGAGCTTAGCAGCGATGGTATCCCGTTATCGGATCCGAGCGAGATCACACGGAGCGGTTCAGCTAGACAAACAAAAATCGGCGGCACTGTGTTTCTGCGGGGCGACGCGTGAACCCTAAGTTCGTTCGTGAAGGGAGGAGGGTATACGGGAGAAGGAAACGATAACGATACGCTCGGCCTTTCCTCGTTCTTTCGGATCCTCGAGATGCGGTGCGCGCGAGTACCGGTCCGAAAGCAACGAGACAAAAGCTGACAAAGTTAAGAAAAAAAGAAACAAAAGAAAGTAAGAAAGGATGATAGGAGGTGACGACTGTGTGCGCGTAGAGAGAGAGAGAGAGAGAGAGAGAGAGAGAGAGGAAGAGGGCGGGAGAGAGAGAGAGAGCGAGAGGGGGAGAGAGAGGGAAGGAGAAAGCCAGTCTGACGGAATCGATGCATCGGTCTGTTTTCAGTCGTGCGCGCGCGTGTGCCTGCGTGCACACGTGTCTATGTGTGTGTGCGAGCGTGCATTTCAGTGCGATTGCGATTAGTGTGCGTGATGTTTTGCGCGAGATTAGAGGGGCGAGGAGGAGGAGGAGGAGGAGGAGGAGGAGGAGGGGAGCAAAGCTAGAGAAAAACGGAAAGAGCGCACAGGCGTTGATATTTTCTTAGTAAAATGCAACGCTGCGACAAGTGTGATAGAGAAGCAACCAAACGAGAAAAACCAAAAAAAGAAAAAAAGAAATGAGCAGATAAAAATGTAAAAAGAAAAAAAGAAGAAAGGTACGTGGCGATTTGGAACGCATATCAAACGGTCGGGACGAAGGTGGCAAAGAATATAGGGAAACACGTAGTTAGAGAATGTAGCGGATACAAAGTGGTGCAGCCTATGCTCGCTGGACACGCGGAAGAGGCGATCGAAGAATCCAAGGATTAACCGAACAAAATAGCGTTTGCGCAGCGACGATCGAAGGCTGACTGACTTGCTCTTCCGCGTGTTCGAGTTAGATCTGGGTTTCGGCATCACTGTATATTTTTTAGCTTCGTATTGCGTACACATACGTTAAACAAAGAAAAAAAAAACTCGATCGTATCGAAAGAAACAGATCAAACAATTAATCTATGTACTCGTGGATGTTAACTGGGGAGCAGCAAAAAAAAAATATGGCGAGGCAAACGTAATTAATATATTAGAACGATGTCGCGTTTCCGGCGGCGGTGGTAGCAACGGGTGGGCATCGCCCGTTGCCGCTGACGCCTAGCCACATGGGCTATGGGGTTCACGATGACGTCAACGACGACCATAAAACGACAGCGACTACAACGACGACGACTACTCGAACACTTCCGTATCGTAGTGTTCCCTATTGTTACCTTCCTCCCAGTCCCCTCGGACCATCGCATCCCACCCAGAAACCCGTTCCCGCATTCCCGCATTCCAATTCCCGATCCCATTTTTCGACACCACCCGTCGAAGCGCATCAATTAACTCTAATTGCCGCTTAGCCGTAATCTCGATATCGCTGTGTGTGTTTCCTTCGAGATATCGTTTTGCGTTCAACTGCAGATCGAACGGAGACGTATATTATTTCCTGAATATCGCTTTATGCTCGAGATACGTCACGTATTCGAATAAAAATGGATTTCATTTGGAAAAACGACCCGTCGATACATGCGAAATCGTCGGCAAATCCCAACCTCCCCCTCCAACCGCTCCGCCAGGTTCTTCAGGAGGACATGCTGATCACGTTGGTGCGTTCGAGAAGTTGTGCAACCGTCGATACCAGTTTGAACGAGATTTGCTCGATAAGAATACGGGTCTTGATCCCCGCCGTGTTCATCGCCAGCTGATACAGGTCGGCGTAGAACTGTAAGTAACGTAGACTTCAGGCCATGCGTATAGTTCGTTCGAGCCACACATTAGTTCGACGATCTACCTTGTCGTCTTCGTCCTCCAGCGGCAGATCGGAGAATTCGGGGCTGACCTCGGTGCAACGCACGCGCATCGTACGCCACGGTGTGACCAGCAGCGTTAGATTCGTGCGCTAAGAGGATCGAGACATCGATTGCTCAGTCCGTTACCGTCTAAACGCTACTTTCTAGCCGCGCATTTCGATTCTAGCCGCGTCCTCGTCGGACGATTAACGAAGCATCGTGTGTTACCTCTTTGGCAACGCAGCCGTGCACCTCTTTGAACTGCACGACGATCTCCCAGAAACTTCTGGTCGCATTCCAGCGGGACCAAGCGAACACATAGCCGGTGGACAGCAGTGCAATACAGTCCCGCAGGTGCTTCTCCGCGACCGGATGCTTCATTGGCAGACCTTTCAAGTAGCTGGCCGCGTCCCGTTCGGGGAACAGGTCACAGCCGATTTGTTGCATTCGCTGCGAACAGAGAACTCCGTTCGCAACCAGAAGGTCAACCCGTTTCGATGATGTTCATACCTCGATCAGCGTGTCCAGTTCGAGGAACTCGCCGAGCATCTGCTTCAAAGGCGTCGATGAGCCGCCCGCGAACGAGTTCAGGCACACGCGATCCTCCTGCGATCGCAATTCATACAAAACACGTTTTTTCGCCTCGCCGTAAATAACACGATATACAGTGGCCCACGAAAGTGGGCCATCGTACACCTTTTAAAACGCAATTACTTCTTGAAAACTGAACTGAATGGCTTGATTTTTTTCTTTTTAGATTGTTGACTGGTCTGCTAGGCGATGACAGAAATGCTTTTCTTTTAATAAATTTTGCTATTACTTGGAATGATAAAAAAATAAACAATTCTCGTTCCTAAACTTTTTCATCCGAGCCTGTAACGAAAATTTAAAAAAAATGTCTTTCGTAGATCTCGGTAACTTATGCGCATGTTGAAAATTTTATCGAAATCGGTTCGTATTGTCGTGAGTTACAACAAATTAAAGATCGCAAAAATCTGCAGTTTTTAGAATCCTTCAACGCCTATAGGTCAACTCTGGGTGAATCGAATCGGTTAACCAATTTTCTGCACGCATATAAGGTATCGAGAGCAACAGAAAGGATTTTCTAAATTTTCGTTATAGGCTCGCATAAAAATTTTCAAAAACAAGGATTTCTAATTTTTTCTTTTCATTCAAGTAATAGCAAAATTAAAGAAGAAAAAACGCTTTTTAGTCATCGTCTAGTAGACAAGTCCTTCTGTCATCTAAAAAAAGTTCAAGCCATTTAGTTCAGTTCTCACAAAGTTATTGCGTTTTAAAAGGTGCACGAACGATTTGGTGGGCCACTGTACGCGTTAGAACGCGAACGCCGACTGACAACCTACTCTGACCACGAATTCGGCTTGAATGGTGGCGGCGGTAACGTTCAGAACAACCCCGCCGAAATTCCGACCGTTCTTCCGCACCTCCGGCTTCAATTCCCAGCTCTGAAACGGCAGATTCGCGAACTTGTTCGCGGCCAGGCCGTGGACGCCCAGTTTCCCGCTTCTGAACGCGATCGTCTGCTTCTCCTCGTTGTACTTGATGTCGTGGATGTCTCTCGTCGACCAGACCTTCTTCTCTGGTATCCAATGCGCTACCAGCGGCGGCTCGAACCAAAAAACCGTGTCCGGTAACCTAGGAACGATTGCTGAGAAGGACTCTGACCATCTCGAGAGAGAAACTATAGGGTGTCCCAAAAATGTCTCGCAATACGGAAATGGCGGATCCCTCGGATCATTTGAAGCAACTTCTTCCTTTATAAAAATGTTCTCCGAGACACCGTTAACGAGTTATTAACGAAAAACAGTGACCAATAAGAATCGAGTACGGCTGACGCGAGGCGGTTCAGCCAACCGGCGCGCAAAGCCCAGTTCCGCTCATTGGCTCGGTCGCTTCGCGCCAGCCGAGCTCGCCTCTCATTGGTCACTGTTTTTCGTTAATAACTCGTTAACGGTGCCTCGGAGAAAATTTTTGTAAAGGAAAAAGTTGCTTCAAATGACCCGAGGAAACCGCCACTTTCGGATTGCGAGACATTTTTGGGACACCCTGTTAGAATCCTATCGCGACTATCTCAGTGTACGGTCACGACGATATATGCCGGCGGATAAAATAATTGTACAATGCAACCGCTGTTTTCTGTACGAAGTACGCTGTCTTTTAACAGAGGTAACCGCTGTCTGTTGTAACCGATGACAGGAGAAACGTGTGCGGCAATGTCGGATTACGAACGTCTACCGTGCGACGGTGAAACGATTCGATGTAAAACCGCTTTTTACGGCATCGTCCGACAGAAACGATCGATCTCCGTTTCCAGCAGCGTGTGAAACTAGAATACTAACTGCACCGTGATCAAGAGCAGCGACTCCATCGCGGTCTCGAGAGCCTTCATCTCGGCCTCGATCACCTCCGGCGTTCTCTCGGAGTCCGGCGCCGGCTGCGGAGGCTCGTACCGTCTCGAGAACACGGCGAACCGCGGTTCCTTCGGCAGTTCCACTGGAAATTTCGTGCACGGTACGTGTAGCACGAGAGTAGGTCTCCTAAAACGTTGTACTCACGGGTAGTCAAACTAGTGTCCTCCCCGAGATCCTTCGGCTGCGGCGGCTGATGGATCAGATCTACGCGGAACACGCCGCCGAGGACGGTGTATTTCCTTAGGTTCACCTCGTTCTTGCCGCACCGAGTGAACAGCAACTTGCGCACCTCTTTCCTGTTCTCCTCTGAAACGGGAGAAGCTGTCCTCTCGAAAGGAAAAATCCCAGAACCCGTGTACAGTTAGAATTCCAGCCGAGAAGACCAACCTTCCCGCTGTCTGACGACCTCGTTGGGCGTCGGTAGATATGGCAGCAACTCCCCGTCCGTGGGCAAGAATCTATCCAAGGTCTGCTCGAACTCCGACGCATTATTCTTGGCGGACTTTGGCCTCTTTTGCTTCTTGCCGCGCTTCCCTCCCCTGCGGGCGCTCGGCAGAGCCGGCGGATTCTCTATTTTCTCTAGTATAGTCTTCTTCTCGTCCAGTCGCAGCCGGCGTTCTTCGGCCTGCTCCTCCCAGATCCGAAGCTTCTCGCGATATTCCGTTCTCGCGAACTCGAGCAGATCTGGAGCTCAATAGCCGACACATTTTTATTGAGGAAACCTGTTCCGAGCTATGAAAAACGTACCGGGGGGCTTGTCCCAGGAATTTCGGAGCTCCGCCGGCAAGTCCGGTACGCGACGGGACTCGGTCTCGACGGAATAGTGATCGTAAGCCAGCCAGAGCCCGCGGATCGCCATGCGATGGCAGTCCAAGTCGACCGGCAGCTTGACCGTCAGCTTGATCTCGTCGAACGCCACCTCGATCGCCTTTCTGTGTGCCCCGAAGACGATGGAACGACCGTGCAAAGGTAAAACTCGAACGACGAACAGAGTCAAGTGTACCTGTCCTTGTCCGTGATCCGTTTCATGCCGACAGGCAGAACGATCGGCGCCCACACGCAGCACACCATCTGGACGGACTCGCGCACGTATCTGGTCGTCTTCATGTCCTCCCTCGTCATGTTCGCCTCGATGTTGCGCAGCAATCGGTAGCAAGCGAGGTCGATCCAGCTCTGAAGTTTGGTGCGTAGCTCCTTCGCGATCTATTAGAGTGTTCCATAAGTTCTTTCCGCGCCGCGCTACGAACGACTCTAACTAATATACAGGGTGTCCCAAAAATGTCTCGCAATCCGGAAATGGCTGGTTCCTCGGATCATTTGAAGCAACTTCTTCCTTTACAAAATTTTTCTCCGAGGCACCGTTAACGAGTTATTAACGAAAAACAGTGACCAATGAGAGGCGAGATCAGCTGCCGCGAGGTGGCCGAGCCAACGGCGCCAGCGGTCGAGGCGGTCGAGTCCCAGCACAGCTGGCGCGAGGCGACCGAGCCATTGAGCGGAACTGGGCTTCGTGCGCTGGTTGGCTCGGTCGCCTCGTGTCAGCCGTACTCGATTCTTATTGGTCAATGTTTTTCGTTAATAACTCGTTAACGGTGCCTCGGAGAACATTTTTGTAAAGGAAGAAGTTGCTTCAAATGATCCGAGGAACCAGCCATTTCCGGATTGCGAGACATTTTTGGGACGCCCTGTATAACTCAATAAATCAGCCTTGAACAACAAACATCGTGTAATCGCTTCGCATGAGAAAAAAAGGAAAGAACTTATGGGACACCTTGATACGCGTCCGACCATACGGTAGCGAACGATTCGTTGCAGAGGACTCTCGACACTCACCGATTCGTATTCGTCGCCGTGCTTCTTGGAAAAGTTGTCGGAGAACCGGACGATCCTCTGCAGCTTGGCCATCAACTGTAAGGAAACGCGAGATGCATACGATTTTCTGGTTTTCGGTCTCGGTTTTCCGGCTCGAGGTGCACCTACGTCGGTGATCACGTTGCAGATTCCCGTAACCGTGTCCATGTTCGCGTCCTTGTTCTCCATCGTCCAGACGAAGAGGAACGTGTTCAGGTCGGACAACGAGCCGGGATCCGGGAGTCCGTCGCAGGTCATGTACCTGTCCCACTGAAAGTCATCGAAAATGCAAGCTCCCCCGATCGCGCAATGATTCTCGATCGTTTCGCGCAGAGGTACCAACGTTCTCCTGCTCCTGCAAGTTACGAGCGTCTTCGACGAACGCCGTCCAATGACGGTCGAGAACCGCCCTGGTCTCGCCCAGCTGGGTCTCGTACTTCTTCAATTGCTGCTCCTCCTGCTGCTTGCACTGCATCTGGTTGTACTGTTCCAATCGGATCTCCTCTTGCATGTCCTTTATCATCTTCTGCCTGGAAAAAGGAAATCGTTTGGAGAACGATCTCTCGGCGTGTGCACCGAGAATCCGTCTACCTGATGTTCTCGACCGGCTCCTCGCCGTCGGCCACACCGTCGCCCTTGCCCTCTTCGATGGTAGGGCTAGCTTTCGGCGAGGCTTTTCGCACTTTTCGCGCCATGCTTCTGGATCCGGCAGTCGCAGCCGTTCTCGCTAACGTCTTCTGCGCGGATCGCGATCAAAAGTGAGTTCGTCGGTGTCTTCACCGAAGCGCGGTGCAACTGAAATTAACCTGAATCTCTCGCCACCTGTCCAGCTGGAACGCGCAAGTTTTCCCGATGGGATTAGATGAACGAGCACAGAATCGTCGACTTGTTTAGTTCCCGTTCTACCAGAGACAGGATCCGACGAGGTTTCTTCAACGTCTCGCCGAACTCTTTTCTCAAGGTTCTGTGCCGCGTCCTCGACTCCATCTCCTGGTACTCTTCCATCTCCTCATCGCCGTACATCGTCGAGTAACTCCATTTTCCCGGGGATCGTTCGCCGATGGATTCCCTAAAATATCGGAATTCGGGTGTCGATTTCTCTAGGATATCGTTGGACCTACAAAGCACGCTGCTGATCAGATATATCCGAGAACGTCAGAGGCGCGAACAGCAACTGGTCTCGGCTGTCCTGCGAGGTGGTTTGCTCGGAAGATGAAGCCAGGGTTTCGCTAGTAGCTTCCATGATCGTGAATCGGTTCTTCGGGATCCGTTGCGATCGAATTACCGCCATGCGATCGAAACACGAGACAGTGCGCTCCGAACTTGCGGTGACACGTGCTTCTGTCGGCAATATTCTCGTCGATGCTATCGTACATGTCGCATGCTTTCTAAATGGTTTGTGTACACAGTTACGCACAAAATTGAGCGTTCAAAACGCGATAACTTTTTTAAAATTGGGCCAAGCGACTTGAATCTTTTTCAGATGATAGAGGGACAAGTTTACTAAACGATGATTAAAATACTGTATTTTAATTTTGCTATTACCTGGAACGACAACAGAAGATAAAAAACTGTAGTTTTTCAACTTTTTATCCGAGCCTGTGTCAAAAATTTTAAAAAATGCTTTCCGCAGATCTCGGTAACTTGTATGCGTGCTGAAAATTTGATCGAAATCGGTTAACCCGGAGGCGTTGAAGAATTTAAAAATCTACAGATTTCTTAGTTTTTGGTCAAAATCTTAATAAAACTGCGATTTTTGCTATCTTTAATTTGTTTTGACCCGTAACAACGTCGACCAATTTCGATAAAATTATCATTACGCATATAAGTCGGCGGGATCTACGGGAGGCATTTTTCAAATTTCCGTCATAAGCTCGGATAAAAAAGTTGAGAAACGAGAGTTTCTTACTTTCCGTTGTCATTCCAAGTGACAGTAAAATTTAAAAAAAAGAAAAAAGCATTTTGATCATCGCCTAGCAGACTAGTCCCGCTGTCATCTAAAAAAAAAATCAAGTTACTCGGCCCAGTTTTAAAAAAGTTATCGCGTCGTACCAATGCGTGCGAGTAACATATGTACATTTCTTCGTTTCGAGCAAGGTCTACGACGAGGTCGTGTCGATGTCATAACATTATTCAGCTTTCGCGTTGGTAATTTAAGAATAGAAACAAATAATCAATGCATAATTGAAGACCGAAATTCTATCAAGGGGAAGGAAACAATGAGCGGATATGTATTCAAATCAGGACCCTCGAACTCGGATTTACGTAATGAAATCCTCTAGAACGGTATTTGTCCATCTACGTTGTCATTTCCGGGAGATTGGTCGCAGTAGTACAGTTCTACAGTCGTGATTCGTCGCGGCACGAAAGAAGAGTAGATTCGCGCCGGCAACGAGGTAAACTAGACGATCGAACGCGCGCAGAATTCAGCGGCGAAGTCCACCATGTCTGTAAGTTTTCGAACAGGTTTCTCTATTCTCTTCCTCGAATTCGAATCCCGATTATAATCCTAATCTATCATTAACCCTTAACGGTCCAATGCCGCCATACACGCGGCAGAAATCAATAAAACCGTAAAATCTGGGCTGGAAACGTTGGGTGAATAGGCACGATTGTTTCGATGAAAATATATCAACGAAGTTTTATTGTAAAAAAATGAATATCTCTTCTCTATGTTTGATACAAAAATTTTCAGTAAAAAATTTCTCTTCGTCTGAAAAACAGTCTGGACTTGGCAGTGTGTAAACTGGAAATAAATAGTTTCGGTCGCCTAAGGGTTAATATAACAGGGTGTCCCAAAAATGTCTCGCAATCCGAAAGTGACGGGTTCCTCGGGTTATTTGAAGCAACTGTTTCCTTTACAAAAATTTTCTCCGGGGCACCGTTAACGAGTTATTAACGAAAAACAGTGAGCTCAGCTGGCGCGAGGCGACCGAGCCAATGAGCGGAACTGAGCTTCGCGCGCTGGTTGGCTGGGCCATTTCGCGTCAGTAGTACTCGATTCTTATTGGTCACTGTTTTTCGTTAATAACTCGTTAACGGTGCCTCGGAGAACATTTTTGAAGGAAGAAACTGCTTCAAATGACCTCAGGAACCTCCCATTTCCGGATTGCGACACATTTTTGGGACACCCTGTATAATAACAGTAAATCCTCCTTAATCGACGCGCAGATTGTTGGCGATAGTTACCGATCGCGAACAACCATAAAAACGAGCCACCAGGCTCGAATAATCGTATCCCCCCTCCCTTTCCAAACCGTCCATTTTCGTGCGCAATCCGAGCATCGATCAGTGAGAATTTACTACAACACAAAAATCCGATTCAGGTGACCTACGATATCAACAAACAGGCGAGGTACTCGATCGCTACGTTCTTTACCGGAAGGAGCGTGTTTGTAACCGGAGGCGTCGGTTTCCTGGGGAAAGTGTTGATCGAGAAATTGCTGAGATCGTGCCCCGAGATTCGCGAGATATACTTGCTGATACGACCGAAGAAAGGCAATTCCGCCGAGGAGAGATTGAAGAAGGCCATCGAGCTGCCGGTAAGTCAGAAAACGCGGTGGTGCGAACGATCGTTTCACCTTACACACACAGTTTAAATTTTTGCTCTGACATTTAAACGAAAACTTAACACTTTATCGACCGGTCGTGGTTGAATCTACCACTCAGTAAGGATTGGCTTAGTCGTGCGCGCATTTGCTCCCAGTACCGGCTAAATTTTCGCTATTCATTGTGCTGTGCTTATTTCTTTAAAAATAATAATAAATAATAATAATTATTATTATTATTATAATTCATAACGATATGGAGAGGTTAGTATACAGCTACTAACAAAACAGTAAAGAAACGAAAACCGTCGATAGCTAAAAGCCGATTAATAGGCTATCGGTCGATAAGCATTGGCAATCGAAAAGCCGATTAATAGACTAGCAGTCAATAAACAATGGCAATCGAAAAGTCGATTAATAGCCTAGCGGTCGATAAAATGTTAACGAAACATCACAATTCTACAGGGTGCCCCAAAAATGTCTCGCAATCCGAAAGTGGCGGGTTCCTCGGATCATTCGAAGCAACTTTTTCCTTTACAAACATTTTCTCCGAGGCACCGTTAACGAGTTATTAACGAAAAACAGTGACCAATGAGAGGCGAGATCAGCTGCGCGAGGTGCCCGAGCCAACGGCGCCAGCGGTCGAATCCCAGTTCAGCTGGCGCGAAGCGGCCGAGCCAACGGCGCCAGCGGTAGAGGCGGTCGAATCCCAGCTCAGCTGGCGCGAGGCGACCAAGGCAATGAGCGGAACTGGGTTCGTGCGCTGGTTGGCTGGGCCGCCTCGCGTCAGCCGTGCTCGATTCTTATTTGTCACTGTTTTTCGTTAATAACTCGTTAACGGTGCCTCAGACAAAATTTTTGTAAAAGACGAAGCTGCTTCAAATGATTCGAGGAACCCGCCATTTCCGGATTGCGAGACATTCTTGGAACACCCTGTATATTTCTACGTTAGAAATAATAAAGAATAAAAAGTTTCCGTTTAGATAGCAATTCCGCGTCGGTAGCAACATAAGAGTTACTTCGAGTCTAGAATTACGCTGCGACCGTTTTCATTTCTATTGGCAGCTGTTCGACAAACTGCGCGAGCAGGATCCATCCATCTTCGCGAAACTGATCCCGCTTAATGGAGACTGTTCCGTGGAACGTTTGGGTCTATCTCCGGAGGACAGGCAAACGCTCGTCGATCGCGTCTCGGTGATCTTCCACGCTGCGGCGAACGTGCGGTTCCACCAGAACTTACAGTTGGACGTGTTCTCGAACGTCCGCTCGACCAGGGACATCTGCGAGCTGGGACTCGAGATGAAGAACATGGTGGCAAGTATCGCGAACCGATTCCCCCGCAGCATTTCTCCATTCTAACGATGCATTCCAACTTTCCGTAGGCTTTGATACACGTCAGCACCGCCTACTCGCAATGCGACAAGCCCGTGGTAGACGAGGTCGTCTATCCGCCGGTCGCCGATTGGAAGAACGTTATAGAGATAGCCGAAAATTTAGATCAGAAGCTGATAGCTACGTTCAGCATCAAGTGAGTACAGTAATGTCTCCTCTACTGATACTCAGATTGTGCAGATTGCCGTTTTAAAGACTAATCCGGCCTTTACGTGTCGTCGTCTCTAATTTACTTCTACGCCCGATGAACAATTTAACGGAAGAAATTAACGTAACAAATACAGTCAATTCTCGCCAATTGGCCTTCAACTTGTATACAAAAATTTGGGAAGAGGAGATACGATTATTCCAATCTCGTTCCTCGTTTTTATAGTTGTTGACAATCGGCTATCATAGAAACGAGCCGCAAGGCTCGAATAATCGTATCTCCTCGTCCCAAATTGTCCATTTTTGTGGGCAATCTGAGCGTCAGTTAGGGTATTGTTATCATTACTGTACAGTAATGCCTCTCTAAGGGTTTTTCAGGATATTTGATACTATTTGGAACGTCACTTTTACTATTTAAACAAAGCTCGAATATAGAACTGGAATAGTATAAAAAAACACAAGAATAATATATGATATATCCAGTAAATTCTCCCTAACTGACGCTCAGATTGCCCACTAAAAATGGGCAATTTAGGAAGCGGCGTTACGATTATTCGAGCCTTATAACTCGTTTTTATAGTTGTTGACAATCGGCTATCATAAAAACGAGCCGCAAGGCTCGAACAATCGTATCTCCTCGTCCCGTAATATACAGTGAATTCTCCTCAGTTGTCTCTCAGCTTGGGAACGAAAGTGGAAAATTTCGGAAGAGGAGATGCGATTACTCGAGCTGCGTTCCTCGTTTTTATAGTTGTTGACAATCGGCTATCATAAAAACAAGCAGCAAGGCTCGAACAATCGTATCTCCTCGCCCCTTAACCCTTTGCACTACGATTTCTTTTGCAGCTGCCTTGATCAGCTGTTTTTTGTCCTCAATCAGTACCCTGATAGAACGAGACAATTTTTGTACTTTGTATGTCTTCGTTTACTTTGGATCCTAGATTTTAATAACAGAACAATCAAATTTTATTTTAATTCAGAGGAGACGAAGAATGTTTGCATTTAATAGATTGTGTATAAAATCTTCATCACGAGTCTGACTCGTTGTTATAGTGCAAAGGGTTAATATACAGTGAATTCTCCTCAATTGTCTCTCAGCTTGGGAACGAAAGTGGACAATTTCGGAAGAGGAGATACGATTACTCGAGCCTCGCACCTCGTTTTTATAGTTGTTGACGATCGATAACCGTAAAAAACGAGCCACAAGGCTCGAACAAGCATATCTCTTTTTCCAAAATTGTCCATTTTTGTGGACAATCTGAGCGTCGATTAGGGAGACATTACTATAATCCCTCTGGGTAATCCAGGCCGCGGTGGCCAGTTACATCGCAGAACGATATAAACAATCGTTTTCCGTTGCAGATGTCTGGGCAACATGCCGAACACGTACACGTTTAGCAAACGACTGGCCGAGCAGGTGATCATCGACTATTCGAAGCGGCTGCCCTGCGTGATAGTTCGACCGTCGATAGGTAAGACCTCCCCGGAAAAATGAACGAGTCGAGGCACCGAAAAAATTAAACCGTACGCTATTGTTCAGTGGTCTCGTCGTTCGACGACCCGATCAGCGGCTGGATAGACAACTTCAACGGACCCATGGGCCTGATGGTGGGCGGCGGCAAGGGGATCCTGAGGGTGGTTCTCATGGACCCGGTGGTCGCCAGCGATTATATACCCGTCGACGTTACCATCAAGGCTACGCTGATCGCCACGTGGAAGCGGGGATTGGTAACGTACGATCCGAAGACCAAGCCTCCGATCGATCGCTGTGCCGGGAACCGGGCCGAGAGGGGGGATCGTTCACGATCGAACAATGATTTCAGGGTAGAAAAAGACCCCGAGGTGCACGTGTACAACTGCACGTCTCATAACATCTGTAGCGTGGCGGGCAGGGAGCTGATCGCGATAGGCCTGAGGAGCAACGAGAAGCTGCCCGTCGACGGGGTCCTCTGGTACCCCCGGACCACGATGACGTCCAGTCGCTTCGTCTACTATATACTGACCTTGCTGCTCCAGCTGCTGCCCTCGTTGGTCATCGACAGCATTCTGAAGATGACCGGCCAGAAACCGATGTACATAATCGTAATTCGTCCGATCGCGTCTGTTCGTCTCTCTCAGACTCACAGAAGGTTCGGCTATCTCTTGCAGACTGGTCGGCATCCACAAACAGATCTACGCGGCCTCGCTGCAGCTCGAGCATTTTACGACCAACCAGTGGTACTTCCGTAACGAGAAGGTGATCGACCTGTTGACCAATCAAGTGCCGCCGAACGAGAAGAACGACTTCGGCTTCGACTTCCAGGTCTTGGACTTGACGAAGTTCTTCAGGTGAGTATCGCGACCAAGGCGGGGGAGGAGACACACGTCGAGAAACTTGGCTAGCATTTGTTTCTGTTTTATCTGTTGCGCAGCACGTGTCTGCTGGGTGCCAAACGCTACTTGCTACACGACGACCTCTCGCGAATCGAGGACAACAAGCGGCGACTCGAAAGGTACGGCAGTTCCCGCGAATACGAATCCTCCGCGAAGTGCCGCGATAAATGAATACGTGATGCACCGCCACGGACGAGGAGGAGGAGTCGGGCCGCAAGCGTGCCGACGGCTCCGCGCGATCCGCGGATCTCGCGGAATTAGCGTGTATCGTTCCTACCTCCTCGATGTTATTCGGCTCTGTGTGTTTGATCGATCGCAGACGCACGCCTCCCTTCTTCCCTCCGGCTCCGCTCGATCGCCTAGCTGATTCGCGGCTGCAACCCGGTCGGCCTTGATAACAAGCCTTCCTGCTTGTTCTCCCGCTCCGTGGAAACTTCTTTGCTCCGCGAGACGCGTGAACGAGACGTTTCGAAACGGCTGTAAACGTCGGCTTCGCCGATCTCCGCCAGCTTAGCGCCGCGACTCGCTGTTCTTTGCCGGTGGAGTGGGCGAATAAAGACCGGGGCTTGCTGGCGCTGGCACCGCGGAGGGCGAGAGGAGGGGAGATACGCGGTACCAGTTGCGGAAAACCTCGGCGACTCGTTTTCTTTTTCTTCTTCGGGATTTTTAATGATCCGAGCGTGGCAATTTTCCAGTTTCCTCGGTTCTGCGCAACCAAACTACCAAGTAAGCCGCATGATTACGTTCGCTGTTACAGGATTGAAAATGTTGCAGGTTGCTGTGGCTCGACAGAATAGTAGACGCGATCATGATCGCGATGGCGGCCCGGTTTCTATGGAACATCGGCTTCGTCTCCGGTGTGCTGGGCCTGATCGGGGCCTGAGACGATCGGCGATATTCCACGAATAACGATCGCTTCGTAGAACGAGAGGCGCGGTGACGTCAGATGTCATGAAATAAAAGGATACGATCATCGGATGCCGTAATTGATTTCCTAGCACGAGACACGCGACCGACTTGCGACAGACCCGCTACCGTCTTTCCAAGCTTCGCGGAATTCCCAAGTTGCATGCGGCCGGCCTTTGTCTAGCCGTCTAGACGATGCGCCGATTGCCCGAAGCGCGACAAATTTCTATCTACTTTTCCTTCGGCTGGTAAACAAAAATGGACAACAACGAACTGATTGGTAAACGATAACCATCGTCCCGTGATATACAGTGAATTCTCCACAATTGTCTCTCAGTTTGGGAACGAAAGTGGAAAATTTGGGAAGAGGAGATGCGATTGTTTGAGCCTCGCTCCTCGTTTTTATAGTTGTTGACGATCGGCTACCATAAAAACGAGCCGCAAGGCTCGAACAATCGTATCTCCTCGTCCCGTAATATGCAGTGAATTCTCCTCAATTGTCTCTCAGCTTGGGAACGAAAGTGGACAATTTGGGAAGAGGAGATGCGATTATTCGGGCCTCGCTCCTCGTTTTTATAGTTGTTGACAATCGGCTACCATAAAAACGAGCCGCAAGGCTAACGATAACTATCGTCCCGTAAAATATAGCGAATTCTCCCCAATTGTCTCTCAGCTTGGGAATGAAAGTGGACAATTTGGGAAGAGGAGATACGACTATTCGAGGCTTGCGCCTCGTTTTTACGATTGTTTCGACGCTCGGCAACTATAAAAATGAAACCGCCAGGCTCGGATAATCGTATCTCCTCTTCCCAAATTGTCCACCACTTTCGTTCGCAAGCCGACGGAAAATTGGGGACAATTTAACCGTATCGCTCTATCGACCGCTATCGTTCCTAAACTTTTAAACAAACATCTCCGATGTCGACGTTAACAGATAATCCAAGAAATTGCGGATAGGCATTTTTCTGCTCTCGCCGCATCGTTCGATCGACTCATTCGAGACCGCAAGTATTACGCGCGCCGCCGACTATTACATATTTTATCAACATGTTAGCTTTCCGTAAAGAGGGTCTTATCGTCGTAGTTTTAAATAAATGATAAAACTCGGTTGTATCTCATTCCACAATGTTGAACGCTATCTACCGTTTTGACGATTCCTGTCGCACAGATACAAAGTAATCTAACGAAGATAGTTCAGCTTGTACAAAATGAACGATTATTATTAATCGTATCGACCGTTCCGCGACTCGCGCGATAGTTTAAAAAATTAATTATCATTTGCGTTTTGAACGCGACGAATCGCTCGAGTTGCATCGACGACGGGGTACGTCCGTTTATCGTAGTTTCGCGTAAATCCCGGTCATGAAAAATGCGCTCGCGCGTCTGGCAATGACCTTGGCCGAATGAGTCAGGGAGCAGTGATGCAACCGTATCTAACTGGGCCGGCATCTGCGACTAGATTCTCTTTAATCTTCGTCGGTGCGAACGAGATGTCGAAAGCGTCTCGTCGGTTGGATCGACGAACATTTCAAGGAAAAATCTGGTCGCCGCGACGATACGGCGTGACGTAGCGTGTCGTCCCGCCGTTTCGTAGCGTGTCGCTTAGCGTTTCGTAGCGTCTGCTAGCGTTCTTAATAGTGGAATCGAGCGCGCGCCCGTCGACGATTGTTCGGTTGCATTTCCGAAGCGCATCAACATGTAAATGGCCGTCTACGAAAGACGTCATTGAGACCCGCGCATGCGTGGCCGCTATCGCTGGCGGTATGGTAGTAGCATAATCGTGCAGCGAGTTCGCGGGAGACTGGCCCGCGAATAGATTTCCTACACGACCGATGGATACGACCGTCCAGGGAGGAGAGGTCGGTCTCCAGAACACAGCGGGCGAACGCGACGACTGCACGGCCGCGCACGGACCGGTCGGATCCCTGCATTTCAGCCAGGTAGGTGAGACGTTTCTCTTTCTGTTCCGCGTGCAAAATCCGGCCACCGGTTTCGAAGAGAGTGCTGGTCGCGGCGAATCGCGGCTCTCGCCGCGTGTCATCGTATAGCCGTCGTCGAGTCGGGTCGAGTCGAGTCGAGTCGAGTCGAAGGGAAGCCAAGTCGCGAGGAAAGGCGAATGCCACGAAGCGACCCCAATTCCGCGGGTCGCGTTCCACGGTTTACATCGGCCCACGATCAAAACGGTGACGCACACGACAAGCCTGCGTCGCAAATGCTGTCTTGCTGGGTGAGTACCCGTGCACGCGCGCGTACACAACCGGATCGCCGATGCTGTCAACTCCCAGCTACCAGCTACTAGCACGCGCCTATATCTGCCGCGAAGCCCCCCTGATAAGGTGAAAGCATCCCGACTCGCGAGCCGATTGCATCCTAGCATCGATTGTTTCCCTTTGTTCATATACAGCAGTCACCGACACGGCTCTCTCTCTCGCGCGCTCTCTTTCTCTCTCTCTCTCTCTCTCTCGCTCTCTTACTCTCGCGCTCTCTTACTCTCGCGCTCTCTCTCTCGCGATCTCTCTCTCTTGTGCTTTTGCACTCGCGCTCTCTTACTCTCGCGCTCTCTCTCTCTTGTGCTTTTGCACTCGCGCTCTCTTACTCTCGCGCTCTCTCTCGCGCGCTCTCTCTCTCGTGCTTTTGCACTCGCGCTCTCTCTCTCTTTTTCTCTCTCTCTCTCTTTTTCTCTCTCTCTCTCTCTCCGGCTTTCGCATCGGATCCGTGGGGATTAGTGTCGTCTTCCGATGGTGCAACCGCAGCTTCCGGCCGGCCGGGGCGGGAAGTTTGAACAGATTACGCGCGGCGACCATGTTGGGCTATCTACCAGCGGGATCGCGGTGTTTCTTGGATCGCGGGTACGAACGATCGCTCGTAACGAAATCGTACTAGGAACCGGTAACGCGGCCTAACGTAACTGGCGTCGCGAAAGGTGTTCGAACGAGTTTTTATCGGTAGATCTCGAAGATGGACGCGACGGCCGCGGTTTCTTTCCGAGCTTCGAGAACGGGGAACGGTGAGGGGAATTCGATCGGATCCCCAACAGTGTTCTTGTTCCAGATTGTCAAGTAGCTCCCGCTGAATGTAGCGTATCCTCCGAGAAGAAATCGTACCGAACGCGAAGACGAAAGATCGGAGGACCGGAAGCGCAGCGTCGAAGATGGCGAACACGAGCGCGCTGCCGAGAAGCTCGGCCGGGCTCTGCCCGCCGAACGATTTCGACGGCATCATCGGGAGGATCGACAGCCTGCGGCTGTCCTGCGAAACCAGCCCGAAGATCGCGGATCGCGATGAGCCGGCGGATCGCAAGAAGAAATGGAATATATCGTTGGACAACGAGAACAACGACGAGAAAAAGGATCCGGACGACAACGGGAACGAGGAGGACGCGGATCGCACGGATCAGTTGATCGCACGTGGACCGATGAAGTCGCAGTTCCTCTCGGGGATCAGGGACAGGCCTTACGACTGGTCGACGGACAGACAGCCGAATCTGCAAGCGCCGAGGTCGAACGAAGCGTATCTTTTCGATTACGAGGAGACCGCGGTGCAGATCCTTCGGGACAAGGAGTCCTGCGAGCGGCTGAACGCGTGTCTCGATCAGCTGCAGACCAACGCGAGGACGATCCTGGACCACTTCAGCGTAGACGGGATCGAGAGATCGTCGGCGATCCAAGACGCGAACGCAGACGTGAGTTGTTCATCCGTTTCGATCCGGGTTCGTCGATCGTTTATCGTTCGCCGTTCATCCATCGTTCTTCATTGGTTTCATTCGTCTGTCGCAGTTCGCGTTCGAGTCGGCTTGCGAGGACGACGACACCGCGTTGCTGGAGAAGCTGTTGCGCGGCGACTTCCAATCGGCGCAATGCTATCCGAGCGGTAGCCCAATGACGACGACCAGCGTCGCGACGCCCAGCCAGGACTCGCCGCTGGTCTCGGGCTCGGAGAGCAGGGACTCGAATTGCACGTCCAGCACGGAGTATCCTTGGACGCAGAAGCGATTGAATCAGGCCCAAAGTCCGCTAGGGTCTCCCAGGGTAAGCGCCGCGCTCGAAACCGCTGCAACCGTGAGATCCGCGATCGGTGTCGCGGGGCTGCCGACGTTTACGCGAATTCCAGCGGGCGAGCTAGAAAGTCGAGTCGAATTTTTCCTCTATCGATTAATAGAAAGTAGCTGCGAGATCCGTGGCCGATCACGGCGAGCCTTGTTTTCTATGAAGGATACGCGAAAAGTCCTGGCTAGACTCCGCTCGAAATAGAATTTTTGCGCAACACGGTCCGCAGCTCGGCAATCATGCTTCTATCCTCGATGCTCTCTCACGAGTCACGCGACGTTTCGCAGATCGTTCCTGTTAAGACCTACGCGCATTCGCAGCTGACCCAGGATCTACCAAACTCTTGCTGCTCCCTGTCGCCCTGCTCTACCTCCCCCTCGTTCTCCTCCTCGTCGAACCAGTCGTACGGGGACCCGTGCAGCCCCATCGGCTATCGGTTCGTCAACGGAATCCTCGGCTCCAGGGTCGAGGAGAGATTCAACGAGGATCTGGACAACTTCTCCTTCTGGAACGACAGCTTCAAGGCTTTCGAGAAGAACGGCAACTGTGCAGAGACCGTGCAGCCGGCCGAGGACTCGTCCAACGTCGACACGATCGACAACAACGAGCTCCAGCTGGTCGAGGAAGTCCTGCGGGACCTCGGCGAGAACAAGGAACGGGAGATCGTGGAGCAGCCCGCTCACCGTCGCCCGGCCAGGCCCGACAAGATCCCCAACGCGTCGACCAACGCGAACTTCACCTCCTATCGGAACAACTCGGACGTCTCCAGGATCTCCTACGAAACCTCTCCGAGCTGCAATCCTATATTCGACTACAGGATACCTAATATCGGGAGCTCGATGACCAGGGACTACGACGCCATCGTTCCGAATGCACCACCGGCACGCAACGACGCCGCCGACGGCTACCGATTCACGGAACCAGCGCTACCCTCTTTTATCGCACAGCCCTTGGTCACCGGTTCGTCCGCCGCTCGCCCCGTCGCGAACGGCTTGAACAACGTCGGCGACATCGAGTCGCAGCTTCTTCTCACGGAGCGTCGTCGGAAGCAAAGCGTCGGCGAGTTTCGGACGCCTAAATACACGAACGACGGGGACGATCTTCACACACCGAAATCGGTCGCCAACTTCGAGAGCACGCCGAGATCTTACGTACGACGGTGAGTACCGATCGTTTATCGATTATTGTTCTTGGTACGGTAAATTCAACCTAATCGGCGGTCGGCTTGGAAATTAAAATGGACGATTCGGGGAGAAGAGGTGCGATTGTTGCAGCCTTGTGGCTCGTTTTTGCAGCTGTTTTTTTTATAGTCGACTTTCCAAATTGTCCATTTCTGTTTCCAAGCTGATTAAAGAGAGGATATATTTATGTGATAATAATAAGAATTTAATAATTTAATAATATTATTTAATAATAATATTTATATAATGTAAAAAATATATATTAAAGTATATACAGGGTGTCCCGAAAATGTCTCGCAATCCGGAAATGAGAAGTTCCTGAGGTCATTCGAAGCAACTTATTCCTTTGCGAAAATTTTCTCCGAGGCTCCGTTTACGAGTTATTAACGAAAAACACTGACCTAAATAAAACTCGGCTAAATAAAACTCGGCTAGCGCACGGCGGCCCAGCCAACGAGTGCACGGAGCCCAGTTCCGCTCATTGGCTCGGCTGTCTCGCGCCAAATGATCTCACCTCTGATTGGTCACTGTTTTTCGTTAATAACTCGTAAACGAAGCCGCGGATTGCATTTTCGCTAAAGAGAAAGTTGCTTCAAATGACCTCAAGAATCCCCTACTTTCGGATTGAGAAATTGTTTCGCAACAATGCAAAAATTAGACGATATCTATTATATTTGTATAATGTCTATTATAAGATATATTACGGTATAGCTGCTTATCAAAAAGATTCCCGTAAAAATATTTTAATAATTTCGGTGAAAGAAAAAGCCAGGAACCAGTCATTTTGACTGATTTGATAATTCTAGCGTTAAACAGTTAGCCGTTTTCGCAAGTACAGTAAATTCTCCCCAGTTGTCGCTCAGCTTAACAAAAATGGACAACTTGGAATAATCGTATCTCCTCTTCCCAAATTCTTTACTTTTATTTCCAAGCTGAGCGTCAATTAGACAGAATTTCCAGCAGTTCTCGGTCGAAGCGAGTTAAAGCTAATATAGTATAAATTCTCGTCGGGTCTCGATTTCAGGAATTCCGATTAGCCTTTTTCCAAACTCTCTACTTTTATTTCCAAGCTGAGCGTCAATTAGACAGAATTTCCAGCAGTTCTCGGTCGAAGCGAGTTAAAGCTAATATAGTATAAATTCTCGTCGGGTCTCGATTTCAGGAATTCCGATTAGCCTTTTTCCAAACTCTCTACTTTTATTTCCAAGCTGAGCGTCAATTAGACAGAATTTCCAGCAGTTCTCGGTCGAAGCGAGTTAAAAGTAACATAGTATAAACTCGCGTCGAGGCTCGATTTCAGGAATTCCGATTGTCCTTTTTCCAAACTCTCTACTTTTATTTCCAAGCTGAGCGTCAATTAGACAGAATTTCCAGCAGTTCTTAGTCGAAGCGAGATAAAAGTAACATAGTATAAACTCGCGTCGAGGCTCGATTTCAGGAATTCCGATTGTCCTTTTCCCAAATTCTCTACTTTTATTTCCAAGCTGAGCGTCAATTAGACAGAATTTCCAGCAGTTCTTAGTCGAAGCGAGATAAAAGTAACATAGTATAAACTCGCGTCGAGGCTCGATTTCAGGAATTCCAATTGTCCTTTTCCCAAATTCTCTACTTTTATTTCCAAAGTGAGCATGAATTAGACAGAATTTACAGCAGTTCTCAGTCGAAGCGAGTTAAAGCTAACATAGTATAAATTCACGTCGAGGCTCGATTTCAGGAATTCCGATTGTCCTTTTTCCAAACTCTCTATTTTTATTTCCAAGCTGAGCGTCAATTAGACAAAATTTCCAGCAGTTCTCAGTCTAAGCGAGTTAAAGCTAACATAGTATAAATTCGCGTCGGGGCTCGATTTCAGGAATTCCGATCGTAACATCATACCCTGGCCGTTGCTGAAGCTGCCGTCCGTAAAGGCGAGCGAAAGGCTAAAGAACGCTGTGGAACCGGCGGAAGTGGAACGCGCTATGGAGAAGTTGCTGAAGCTGCCCCCGGAGGATCTCGCGAAACAAGACTCGGACGGCTACACGTAAGTGAACACTACAATGTCGTTTTTTTCGCATTTACCGTACGTCGCGCTCCTTCCTCTCGGCAGGATGCTGATGTGCCTGGTGTCGAATCCGGCCAATCTCGTGAAGAAGATAGCCTTCTTGGCGCCGCTGGTCGAGCGCACCCCGAGAGACGTGCTCACCCACAGCAACAATCGCGGGGAGGACGCGCTATATCTGGCAGCTTTGAACTGTCCGCAGTACTCCTACGTCGCCGGATACCTGGCCGCCACGATGTTGCAGAAGTCCATCGACGTCAGCCAGCAATTGTACAACACACGCGTATGTTTACATTCTGAACGCCTCGAAATCTGTTTCCGTGTACGAGCGGTGTTGTGACGCGATGCGCGCCCTTGCAGGGTAACACGCTGGTTCACCTGGTAGCGGGACAAGGAGACTCCCACGCGGAGATCATGGCCGAGCTGCTGGCATTGAGGACGGTCCAAGGGAACAGGGTGTTTGATCTGTCGAAGCGAAACTACGATGGTTAGCGTTCCTTTCCTAATAACGTTCTCTCCAATGTTTAATAGCGTTCTCTCCAATTATCTCTTGTAAAGAAAAATGGACAATTTGAGAAGAAGAGATACGATTATTCTTTATAGTCGCCGATTGCCGACACATCTAGAAACGAGCTGCGAGGCTCGAATAATCGTATCGCCTCCTCCCAAATTGTCCATTAACTTTTTATAGTTGCCGATTGTCGACACTTCTAGAAACGAGCTGCGAGGCTCGAATAATCGTATCGCCTCCTCCCAAATTGTCCATTAATTTTTTATAGTTGCCGATTGTCGACACCTCTAGAAATGAGCTGCGAGGCTCGAATAATCGTATCGTCTCTTCCCGAATTTTCCATTAATTTTTTATAGTTGCCTATTGTCGACACTTCTAGAAACGAGCTGCGAGGTTCGAATAATCGTATCGTCTCTTCCCAAATTTTCCATTAATTTTTTATGGTTATCTATTGCCGACACCTCTAGAAACGAGCTGCGAGGCTCGAATAATCGTGTCGCCTCCTCCCAAAGTATCCATTTCCGTGTACAAGCTAAGGGACAATTGGAGAGAATTTACCAGTGTACTCGAATCGAATGCTACTTCGACAGGGTTTCTAGTTTTTCTAAACTAGAGAAATAAACATGTTGCGTTCGACTTTCGCAGGGAAAACGGCCCTCCACGTGGCCATCGAGTCCCACGAGCCCGTGACGAAGAAGGTCTCGTCCGTGGCGACGGTGAAGTTGTTGCTGAAGTGCGGAGCCGATCCCAGAGTGAAAGAGAGAAAATGCGGCGACAGCGCGCTCCACATGGCTATCTCTTTGACCTCGGATCCTACGTTGGTCAAGGTACCTACCGAGCGGACCATTTATTATGCTTTCGAAGGTTTAGAATTGATCAAACGATTCGAACGTTTTCACCGGTCGCTTTCGATTCGCAGGTGTTGTTGGACGAGTATGCCGCCGATTTAGTGAACGCAGTTAATTATAATCACGACACCCCGCTGCACGCCGCGGCCACGGTCTCGAGCAACGTTCCCGTGGAGAAACAAAGGGAGCTGTTCTGGCTGTTGATCCAGGCCGGCGGCCAGACGAACCTGTCGAATCGGCAGGGAAAAGTGCCGCTGGCGCTCGTCTCGCCGGAAAGGAAGAGCCTGATCAAAAAAGTCATTTACAAACGGTCGTGAGACGACGCCCGATAAAACCGTGATAAGCGTCGCAACTGTACAGTAATGGTACTCGATCCCCACCTGAATGTCCCGTCGAACGGACACGGTGTCCGTTCGACGGGAACGGAACGAAAGTGCAAATTAGCGATCCGTATCTTCGATCGCGTAACGTAGGATTAAGCAAGATACAATAATAAATATTTGTTTACAAGCACGGATAACGTTGCAGTTGATTTTCCTTTTTCTTTTCTCTCTCTTTCTCTCTCTCTCTCTCTCTCTCTCTCTCTCTCTCTCTCTCTCTCTCTCTCTCTCTGTCTCTCGACGATTTCCCGACGACTGGAAAATCCCGGCAACAGGATTCTCAAGCGATGTAGGAAGAAGGTTGGTGCGCGCATATATCACGGAAATTGCGATAAAAAAAGGTGTGCGGTTAGACTTCTAGTTGTGTGAACGTGTCAGACGCTTCCGATACGGAAACGGCACGACCGGTCTAACGGCAAACGTAGTTGCCGCCTTGTCGGTGCTGGAACAACAATCAGGATATCGTCGACGGAGAACGTTCAGCGTGCCGAACGCGTTTAAATCGTGCATCGAGCACGTCACTCATAGTCAGCGTAAAAAAGCGGCGCGAAACAGCCTGTCCATCTTCATTCCGGCGATCGGTCAATTCTGATTCGGTGACGGAGGCGTCTCGTCTCGGTCCCGTACGCATCCCACCCGGAGCGCTTTTTCATTCGGCGAGAAACGTCGAACGCGACGGACCTTGCTCGAGGAACCCGGGGAAACACGGTCGTGGAAAGGCTTCCTTGGAATTCTGGCGAAGACCGGCGGAGTGTGCACGATGAAGCGGATGATCGTACCGATGAGCTTCGTGGCGGCGGTTCTCGGATCTACGGTGATCAACGACCAGTGCACGATCGACGAGACGTCGGCGGTGTCCTGTCGATGCACCGGCAGCGAGGTAAGGTTCTCTTCTCTTCGAACAAAACGAACGTTCCTCGAGAATCTCTGTCGTTCGTCCTTCTTTCCAGGAGTTCGAAATTCCCGGCGACTTCCGCGGCTACCAGAACACAAGCAGCCTGCACGTTCAATACTGCCGGTCCGCGCACCTGCACGACATGAACCTGATATTAGCCTCGCACATCACGGAGATCGTCGTGGACAACATAGACGGCATCCTCAGGTTCGAGCTGATCCCCAAATCGAAGAAGCTGAAAGACCTGAGGCTGTCGCATATCCGCTGGATACCGACCTTGACCAGGCAAATATTCATCTACACGAAGGAGATCAACTCGCTGACGATCGAGAACGCGAGGATCGGCCATTTGGGCGATCTATTCTCGAACACCTTGATCACCAACGTTTTCCTGACGAACGTAACGGTCGAGTACGCGGAGAAATTGTACTTCTCCGAGGAGCGGGGCAACGTTTTGCGGATCGCCGACAGCGAGTTCCAAAATATCGCGAACACCTGGAACTTCGCGAACTTCTCGAACGTGGAAATCGTGCGTTCCAGGTTTTATCTGAACAATCCGGGTAATTTGAAGATCGAAGCCGACGAGGTACTCGTCAAGGATTCCGTGTTCTCGAACACGAGCATCAGCATAATCGCCCAGAACTCCGTCAGCACGGAAGATATCTGCGCGACGGGGAAGAGCTCGATGAGCCTCTACTCGAACAAGATCGTGAGCACGAACAATCGTCTGCCGAATCAGATCAATTACCATCAGAAAATAAACCTGAAGCCGGACGATCGGAACAACACGATCTGCATCGCCGGCAACTGCAAATGCTCGGAAACCAGCGGCCAGGATACGTACGCGTCGACGATCGCGTCGTCGTTCGCGTACCGATTCTTGATGTCGGTCGTTGTTTTAACGTCGGCGCGCGTAAAATCGTTCTGATCGGCTCGCGCGCCTCCACGGAGATTCTTACGCCTCGGAATATGTAACATGTTTCTATCGAAAACAGCTTCTATCGCGAACAGAACGAGGATCGCCGAACTTGGAAATCATAGCTTCGAAGTGGAAACGTACGTGCGAGACGTAACGATCGAATCAAAGCTTTTGTAAAATAATTTTAAGCGGGCTCTCTCTCTCTTTCTCTCTCTCTCTCTCTCTTAAATTAAAAGTTTTAATTACTCATACAAAATAGTTCGAACACGGACACGTGTAACCACATACGATTCTTGCTATATGATATACAGTGTTTATCCATTATGCTTCAGCGAATATTTTCATAAGACAATTTTTCAATCCCGTCGCACCTGTATGCGCGCATTTCTTGTACTATACGATTGCGTTTTTAATAAAGGCCCACATCTTTTTGTACCCACGGAAAACTGTTTGCTTTGATTTATCTCGACGTTCGAAAGGAAACGGAGTACGAATAAAAATGCGAAATAAGTACAAAAGATAATTAGAAAATAGATTGCTTACCAGAGACCGGTATATACAGGGTGTCCCATAAATGTCTCGCAATCCGAAAGTAGGGGATTCCTGAGGTCATCTGAAGCAACTTTCTCCTTAGCGAAAATGCAATCCGCGGCTTCGTTTACGAGTTATTAATGAAAAACAGTGACCAATCAGAGGCGAGATCATTTGGCGCGAGACAGCCGAGCCAATGAGCGGAACTGGGCTCCGTGCACTCGTTGGCTGGGACGCCGCGCGCCAGCCGAACTCGCCTCTTATTGGTCAGTGTTTTTCGTTAATAACTCGTAAACGAAGCATCGGAGAAAATTTTCGCAAAGGAATAAGTTGCTTCGAATGACCTCAGGAACCTCCCATTTTCGGATTGCGAGACATTTTCGGGACACCCTGTATTTTTACCTATTTTCATGGACTCGTGCCGGTACAATAAAAGATGACCGTGGAAGCGCCGCGACAGTCGCGCTGTTACCGTAGGAACGATTGTTGCATTCGAACTTAGAGTTCGCACCGATACAACACCGGTAAGTCATTTTAGTATTTTTACCGGTACGGGTGTCACGTACCACTTTGGTGCCATTTTAAAAAACTGAAATAACATTTGAACTATATTTCTTGGGTGTTAAAAGGCAGCAAACTAACTGTAGTATTGTGCTTATTTAAACAAGAATTAAGTACGAAAATTCTTGGATGACGTATCTTAATTTTAGGAATTTATATTACCGTCATCTTCGAAATTTTGTTTAAAATCTAAAATTTCCAAGCTATTATGCCGGCGTCAAACAAAAGAATCATATCTAAGATCTGCGAACGGCATAGTGTTAAAACCGATTTCCCTAATAACGGTTACATTGCGACAATGTTTCGAACAAACGAAACCTCGAAACATTTCGCTTTTCAATTTCTGGCAGTTGATAATTTCGTCCTACAGCTTCGGCGGTCTGCCGCCTGCGCGTAACGGCGCTAAATCGATATTCTACGGTTTAGCATGGTAGCGCCATCTGTGGGAGAATCAGAGTCTTCATCGGCGGATAATTTTGGCAAACAGTTTAGAGATTTCGCTGCTAGAGACGCCATCTCTGTCCAGTCTATGTATAATTATTTAAATTAAAANTCTCTCTCTCTCTCTCTCTCTCTCTCTCTCTGTCTCTCGACGATTTCCCGACGACTGGAAAATCCCGGCAACAGGATTCTCAAGCGATGTAGGAAGAAGGTTGGTGCGCGCATATATCACGGAAATTGCGATAAAAAAAGGTGTGCGGTTAGACTTCTAGTTGTGTGAACGTGTCAGACGCTTCCGATACGGAAACGGCACGACCGGTCTAACGGCAAACGTAGTTGCCGCCTTGTCGGTGCTGGAACAACAATCAGGATATCGTCGACGGAGAACGTTCAGCGTGCCGAACGCGTTTAAATCGTGCATCGAGCACGTCACTCATAGTCAGCGTAAAAAAGCGGCGCGAAACAGCCTGTCCATCTTCATTCCGGCGATCGGTCAATTCTGATTCGGTGACGGAGGCGTCTCGTCTCGGTCCCGTACGCATCCCACCCGGAGCGCTTTTTCATTCGGCGAGAAACGTCGAACGCGACGGACCTTGCTCGAGGAACCCGGGGAAACACGGTCGTGGAAAGGCTTCCTTGGAATTCTGGCGAAGACCGGCGGAGTGTGCACGATGAAGCGGATGATCGTACCGATGAGCTTCGTGGCGGCGGTTCTCGGATCTACGGTGATCAACGACCAGTGCACGATCGACGAGACGTCGGCGGTGTCCTGTCGATGCACCGGCAGCGAGGTAAGGTTCTCTTCTCTTCGAACAAAACGAACGTTCCTCGAGAATCTCTGTCGTTCGTCCTTCTTTCCAGGAGTTCGAAATTCCCGGCGACTTCCGCGGCTACCAGAACACAAGCAGCCTGCACGTTCAATACTGCCGGTCCGCGCACCTGCACGACATGAACCTGATATTAGCCTCGCACATCACGGAGATCGTCGTGGACAACATAGACGGCATCCTCAGGTTCGAGCTGATCCCCAAATCGAAGAAGCTGAAAGACCTGAGGCTGTCGCATATCCGCTGGATACCGACCTTGACCAGGCAAATATTCATCTACACGAAGGAGATCAACTCGCTGACGATCGAGAACGCGAGGATCGGCCATTTGGGCGATCTATTCTCGAACACCTTGATCACCAACGTTTTCCTGACGAACGTAACGGTCGAGTACGCGGAGAAATTGTACTTCTCCGAGGAGCGGGGCAACGTTTTGCGGATCGCCGACAGCGAGTTCCAAAATATCGCGAACACCTGGAACTTCGCGAACTTCTCGAACGTGGAAATCGTGCGTTCCAGGTTTTATCTGAACAATCCGGGTAATTTGAAGATCGAAGCCGACGAGGTACTCGTCAAGGATTCCGTGTTCTCGAACACGAGCATCAGCATAATCGCCCAGAACTCCGTCAGCACGGAAGATATCTGCGCGACGGGGAAGAGCTCGATGAGCCTCTACTCGAACAAGATCGTGAGCACGAACAATCGTCTGCCGAATCAGATCAATTACCATCAGAAAATAAACCTGAAGCCGGACGATCGGAACAACACGATCTGCATCGCCGGCAACTGCAAATGCTCGGAAACCAGCGGCCAGGATACGTACGCGTCGACGATCGCGTCGTCGTTCGCGTACCGATTCTTGATGTCGGTCGTTGTTTTAACGTCGGCGCGCGTAAAATCGTTCTGATCGGCTCGCGCGCCTCCACGGAGATTCTTACGCCTCGGAATATGTAACATGTTTCTATCGAAAACAGCTTCTATCGCGAACAGAACGAGGATCGCCGAACTTGGAAATCATAGCTTCGAAGTGGAAACGTACGTGCGAGACGTAACGATCGAATCAAAGCTTTTGTAAAATAATTTTAAGCGGGCTCTCTCTCTCTTTCTCTCTCTCTCTCTCTCTTAAATTAAAAGTTTTAATTACTCATACAAAATAGTTCGAACACGGACACGTGTAACCACATACGATTCTTGCTATATGATATACAGTGTTTATCCATTATGCTTCAGCGAATATTTTCATAAGACAATTTTTCAATCCCGTCGCACCTGTATGCGCGCATTTCTTGTACTATACGATTGCGTTTTTAATAAAGGCCCACATCTTTTTGTACCCACGGAAAACTGTTTGCTTTGATTTATCTCGACGTTCGAAAGGAAACGGAGTACGAATAAAAATGCGAAATAAGTACAAAAGATAATTAGAAAATAGATTGCTTACCAGAGACCGGTATATACAGGGTGTCCCATAAATGTCTCGCAATCCGAAAGTAGGGGATTCCTGAGGTCATCTGAAGCAACTTTCTCCTTAGCGAAAATGCAATCCGCGGCTTCGTTTACGAGTTATTAATGAAAAACAGTGACCAATCAGAGGCGAGATCATTTGGCGCGAGACAGCCGAGCCAATGAGCGGAACTGGGCTCCGTGCACTCGTTGGCTGGGACGCCGCGCGCCAGCCGAACTCGCCTCTTATTGGTCAGTGTTTTTCGTTAATAACTCGTAAACGAAGCATCGGAGAAAATTTTCGCAAAGGAATAAGTTGCTTCGAATGACCTCAGGAACCTCCCATTTTCGGATTGCGAGACATTTTCGGGACACCCTGTATTTTTACCTATTTTCATGGACTCGTGCCGGTACAATAAAAGATGACCGTGGAAGCGCCGCGACAGTCGCGCTGTTACCGTAGGAACGATTGTTGCATTCGAACTTAGAGTTCGCACCGATACAACACCGGTAAGTCATTTTAGTATTTTTACCGGTACGGGTGTCACGTACCACTTTGGTGCCATTTTAAAAAACTGAAATAACATTTGAACTATATTTCTTGGGTGTTAAAAGGCAGCAAACTAACTGTAGTATTGTGCTTATTTAAACAAGAATTAAGTACGAAAATTCTTGGATGACGTATCTTAATTTTAGGAATTTATATTACCGTCATCTTCGAAATTTTGTTTAAAATCTAAAATTTCCAAGCTATTATGCCGGCGTCAAACAAAAGAATCATATCTAAGATCTGCGAACGGCATAGTGTTAAAACCGATTTCCCTAATAACGGTTACATTGCGACAATGTTTCGAACAAACGAAACCTCGAAACATTTCGCTTTTCAATTTCTGGCAGTTGATAATTTCGTCCTACAGCTTCGGCGGTCTGCCGCCTGCGCGTAACGGCGCTAAATCGATATTCTACGGTTTAGCATGGTAGCGCCATCTGTGGGAGAATCAGAGTCTTCATCGGCGGATAATTTTGGCAAACAGTTTAGAGATTTCGCTGCTAGAGACGCCATCTCTGTCCAGTCTATGTATAATTATTTAAATTAAAATGTATATTTCGAATTCTCTTATATTTGAGACCGTCGTGTTGTTCTAGCTTGTTATTCGCGAAGGTTCAAACGGACGAAAGTAAATAGTTCTCTGTACAAAAAAGAAAAACAAGGTTGACCTTCATTGAAAATTCAAGCGTATAGTGTAACAAACGTACGCATACAGGCGCGACAATAGTCGAGCGCCGTTCGTGCGGTAAAAAATAATTGTCCTATGGAAATACTCGTGAAAGCATAAAGAAGAGAACGAAGAGAAGAAAAGGCGAAACAGAAACGGACACGGACACGTTCTGCTGGTTCTGTACAGTTCCGTTCGCGCTTTAGAAGCAACGGCGGACGCGTCGCGTTCGAATAACCGTGAACATTCTGCTCGACCGCCTCGTCCTCTCTTTCCATCCTTTTCTTATCCCGTCCCGCGTTAGAGCTATTCAGTGCGTCGATAAAATGGCTACGGTGTGCCATTAGCTTCGCTCGCCAGGAGGCATCGTTTCGCTTCGGTAACGTAGCAGATCCCCCCCACCCCCCGGCGCTGAATACTGCGTTCACGCACGCGATCACGCGACAAACACGCAGCACACACGCAAACACACGCGCGCGCACACACACACGCATATACACAGACACTCACACATACACATGTGCATAATTGTAAGTAATAGTATTTAAGGAGCATGTACAACGATGCTAAACGGATTGCCACGTGCATAATCGGTATAGATAGTACAACACCAGCCAACATATTCGGAGCAGCGCGTATGCAAAGATCACTTTCAGCGCCTGATGGGTCCAATACAATCTGGAAAAGAAAGTCCGTGAGAAATCGAGTAGCGCGTTTCTACGCAGTTCGTAGAAACGATCTTGGTGTAAAAACAATTGTGGTATCGCTTTCGTTACTTGAAACGATTACGGTTATTTTTTGATTCTTGATTTCGATTCCACGTGACAGACAAAAACCAATCGTAGTCCCAACTTCTCGATAATACAAAGTATTGTAATGACATGATCGTATCGTGTGCATTTTCAACTTAAATATACAGTAAATTCTTCTCGATTGCCCTTCAGCTTCAGGACAATTTGGAATAAGGAGATACGATTATTCGAGGCTTGCGCCTCTTTTTCATAGTTGCCGATTGCTCGACAACTATAAAGGCTCGAATAATCGTATTTCCTTTTCCCAAATCGTCCATTTTTGTTTACAAGCTGAAGGAGAATCGGGTGAACCGATATGACAGAACCGATGTACAGTGACTCCTTTTAGTAATCAGACACTTTTCAAAATGACAGGATAGTCCACTGTACATTATAATTAGACTGCGGATCTTTATGGAAAATAAAAATTTCCCAAGACGATTGTTAAGAACAGAAATTAAATAAAAATAAATTGTTTCTTTAAATCGTTTCAATGAACCGAAAATAGTGTAGCTACATTATGAAATTTTTCTTATGTCTTCACAATTTTGTAATTCAGCTACAAACTTTTGTCACAAAATCCGTAATTTACTTGTACCAACTTTAGTTTACAACTGTATCAGTTCGAACCAATATATAGTAGTAAATTCTCTCCAATTATCCCTCAGCTTGTAAATAGAAATGGATAATTCTTGGAGGAGGAGATATCTGTTAACAATCAGTGAACATAAAAACGAGCCACGAGGCTCGAATAATCGTGTCTCCTCTTCGAAAACTTATCCATTTCTGTTTACAAGCTGAGGGACAATTGAAGAGAATTGTCCCTCTTTGTCCCAATCTCTCCAATCGCTGTAAATACAGTAATGTCTCTCTAATTGACGCTCAGATCGTCCCCAAAAATGGACAATTTTGGAAAAGGAGGTACGATTGTTCGAGCCTTGTGGCTCGTTATTTATGATTATCGATTGTCAACAACTATAAAAACGAGTTGCAAGGCTCGAATAATCGTATCTCCTCTCCTCAAATTGTCCACTTTCGTTCTCAAGCCGAGAGACAATAGGAGAGAATTCACTGCATATTACGGGACGAGCAGATACGATTGTTCGAACCTTGCGGCTCGTTTTTATGGTAGCCGATCGTCAACAACTATAAAAACGAGTTGCAAGGCTCGAATAATCGTATCTCTTCTTCCCAAATTGTCCATTTTTGTGGACAATCTGAGAGACAATTGGGGAGAATTCACTGCATATTACGGGACGAGGAGATACGATTGATCGAGAGTTGCGACTCGTTTTTATGGTAGCCGATTATCAACAAATATAAAAACGAGGTGCGAGGCTCGAATAATCGTATCTCCTCTTCTCAAATTGTCTTCCTTCGTTCCCAAGCTGAGAGACAATTGGGGAGAATTCACTGCATATTACGAGACGAGGAGATACGATTGTTCGAGCCTTGCTACTCGTTTTTATGGTAGCCGATTATCAACAACTATAAAAACGAGTTGCGAGGCTCGAATAATCATATCTCTTCTTCCCAAATTGTCCATTTTTGTTGACAATCTGAGCGTCAGTAAGGGAGACATTACCGTAGAAGTAAGTAGAATCAAGTAGAACCAAGTATGACTACCTTTGCCATTTGACTCGCGCCTGCGGAAGCGTGTCCAGGGGATCCTTGATCAAATAGATACGAATTCCCCGTATGTACGTCCGGAAGTACTGGTCCCAATCGATCGTCGTAATGTCGCAAACGAAATTGTTTCGATCCTCGGGACTCATTTTATCGATCACCGCTTGGACGGTCTCGTTCGTGAACGTCCATCTGTTCGTCGTGAAGTAATTCAACACGTCCATGAACTTGTGTATCTTTTTGTAGAGCTTCATCATCCTTTCGCGGCGAAGAACAAGAGACGACAATTACGCACCGTGGAGTCACCGGAGAAACAATCGGGGAGAGAAAGAAGTGTCGAGAAGGAGATCTCACCTGGGTTGCTTGCCAACGCATACCGTGACGGTGTCGATCAACATAGCCGGAATCAAGTGAAAGAAATAGACGTAGAACAAGTGAACGATCCAATACTTGTTGTTACGGAAACTATAATACCATATCGCCTTCTCGGTCGGGAACTCGAGCCCGTATTTCTCGGACATCGTCTTCAGCTCGTCGTAGCTGATAGCATTGTCCTTCGATACGTAATTGTAGACCGGAACGTCGAACTTCTGCTCTTCTTTGGTAGCCGTGGACCTGCAATTGCGCGGAAGGATCGATCATGGTGGTTACGAGAAACGGCGAAAACAAGAGTTCGCGACAACGATAGGAAGATAGGAAACGTCGTTCGTCCTCGGATCATACTTGTAGCGATTCGCAACGTCCCAAGCGCAGGCGATCAGAGCGTTCACGGTGAAATCCCCGGGCACCACGTTCGCGTGGATCGACCCGTCGCAATGAATAGATCGCAGGATCCCGGTACCTGCTCCGGCGGCGACACCGGTCGGCCCGTACATGTTATCGATCCATCCTCGCACCGGTTCCCGATACGTTGATATCACTACAACATTCAATTTTCGATAAAAGCCTGACTGGTTCAACACGTTGAATGCCACGGGGGTCACCGGTGATCGGCACTTAACTTGGCGGTGACGTCATGGGGTGCGCCCAAATCGATTAAATATATATAATTTATATATATAGAAATATATATAGAAATATATATGACATAATATATATATATAGAAATATATATAATTTAAAACAAATGTCAATATCTAAAATTTTGTATTATTACCATTATCAATTCAAACAGTGACCCCCGTCGCAATTAACATGTGAAACATGGTTATACACTGTAACTTATCTATCGCAGATAATATTTCAACATTATACCTATCGCTTAAAAGAAAAATTCATCGTGGCACCACGGGCAATTTCTGTAAAACCGGCGTAGCATAATTAAGCATTCGTTCGACCGCTTTTTGTCTCTCCAGAGATACCAAGGCGCGACGATAAAGCGGAGACAAAGAAAGATGGAAAAGAGCCGGGCGAACTATGTTGGCCAAATAAACGAAATGAAACGGAATAAATACCAACCGATCGCGGGGCGAAATATTCCGGCAGGAAGATCGCCAGCCTCTTTCTTCACGACGCTCTCTGCGATCGCCTTCGTGAAAGTGTAAGTGTTCGGCCAGATGCCCAACAATCTGCAACGTCCGAAGAAACGGTTTATGCGACGGCGATAAAAATAGAAAAGAAAGAAAGAAAGAAGTGTTCGCGCGAGAATTTCCGCCGGGAAAGTTTCGTAGAAGCGTTTCTTTTACCGGGGCGTGATCTCTTCCAGCAGTTTCTCGTCCACGCATTCCATCAGTGTGATCAATTTGTCCGCGTCCATCGGCGGTTCGTACACTTTTTCCTCGATCAACGATCGCGGGCAATTAGCGTAAGCCGTGGACACGTGCACGAACGACTGAAACGATCGAATTTGTTCTCTTAGCATCTCTGCGCCGTGGCTACGAGGCGAAATCCGAGCCGTATTTTTCGTTCCGCTCGTTCAATGATTATTTTTTATTTTCCGTTTCGACGCTCCTTCAGCTTCGAATCGCTTTCGTAATTGCCGGCACGTACGGTTGCCGTGAAAGCGTTTTCGCGGCGCGACAAGTCGCGCGGCCGCGCCGCGCCGCGCCGCGTCGCGCTTCGTTCACTTGCCTTTAAGCCCGGCATCTCTTTGCAAAGATCGATCACAGCCTTGGGACTGCGCACGTTGATCGGTACAGCCAAGTTCATCTTCTCGTCGAACCTGACGGTGGCAGCGACGTGCATAACGATCGAAACTTCGCGCGTAATTATCGCTCTGTCCGTCGCAGAGATTCCCAATCCTGGCAAACTGCAGTCTCCCGCTACCGCGACCGTCTGGTGCCTGAACTTTGGTTGCATCTCCTTCAGCTTGCCGAATACCTGGACAGACAAACGGACGCGATCCAAGGATCTTCGTTCCCAAAGAAAACACGAAATTCCACGGACTCGCGGCGCTTCGTAGGCGCCGAGTGCGGGAACACGGTCGATCGGGTTCTCCTCGCGTGTTCGGAGCGAATGGTTCGCCCGATTAACCCTTTCCCCTACCTCAATTCATTCTACTTCGATTCAAGCTTTAAGCACGTGCCACAAACAATAACAATATCGGTCACGCGTCGAGTCCTTTCACAGTTGCGCGAAACGTTAATATTCGGACTAAACGACCTGTATTTTTTTTTTTTTTTTTTAAATGACAGAGCGACCAGTCTACCAGACCATAAATAATATTTATCGAACGATAAAAGAAACGATAAAAATAAGAAACTCTTGTTTTTTAACTTTTTGATCCGAGACTACAAGCGACAAATGAAAAAGATTTGTTTCGCAGATCTCGGTAAGTTATATGCATGGTTAAAAATTTCAATCGATTGACCTTCGTATCAGCTGTAAACATTTAAAGCATCGTATAATACATGGCAGCACGCGTCAAGCTCGTTCTTGCGTCAACTCCTTTAGCAACTAATAAAACAATGAAACGACGAAAGACAGGAAACCACGAAACACGTATTCCCTAGACTGACGCACCACGGCTCTCATTCGTGGTCTGATTTTTTTTTACCACGTCTCTCGAACGCGACGATCGTCTCTAGCTCGACTTTTTGTTTCACCAGGTCTTTCCGGACGCGATGATCGTCTCTAGCCCGATTTTTGTTTACCACGTCTCTCGGACGCGACAATCATTTCTGGCCCGATCATCCGACCACGTGTCTCGGACGCGGCTGCAGGACAAAGGGAGCTTGCAGAGCTAGCTCGAAAAGGAAGTTCGCAGGAAAGCGGAGAACGCGACAGGGAGAAAAGAGCGGCGTGGCTAAAGAAGGAATGGAAGGAGCGGCGATCGACGCCGGTGGACGGTTGATACGCCGAGAGAAAGTCGGTGCAGTTTCTTCGGTCCGCGGCGCAGTATTATCGAAAGTGGAAGTAGAACAGATTTGTAACTGTGGGAACAGCTAGCCTACGAAGATGAAAACGGTCGATGTTTACGGGGTTACGCTGCTAGTTTCCCCTTTCTTACCGGATCGTCGAAGAGCTCCTCGACGCGTTGGTGCACGTCCTTGCACTTCTTCGGGCGCACCAGGATGTAGATGAACGAGATCCCGGGACACTCCCTGAGCAGCTTCTCGATCAGCAGCTTCCCCAAGAACCCGGTGCCCCCGGTGACGAAGATGCTCTGCCCGTTGTAGAACTTTTGTATCGGGCTGAGGTTCGCCTCGTCCGTGGCCACGTGCAGGTCGCGCTCCTGCCTCGGGGTGTACTCGGTCGTGCTCTCGTCCATGTGACACCCGGTCTCCGGCACGGCGACGTCCTGGCCGCAGGACTCTAGCAAAACTTCCACCATCGCTTCGCTGTTGCCGGGGGCGGTCTTGACGTTTGCTCGCGAACAATTAACGCGCGTTAACAACTGCAAAGAAAAAGATCGGACGGAACGTTTACATGCGCCGAAGCACGTACCGATTTAAAACCTGCCACTCGTACCGCCGCGCCGCGCCGCGCCGCTCCGCTCCGCGCCGCCCGTGCTCCCGCGATAGTTAACCGGAGAGAAACCGCGTACCGTCGCAGAGTGAAAGTAGATAGTGAACTTCGTCCGTGCGTCTCTCGTGTCTCGAATCGAAAAATCCATTTGATAGATATACCGACCGTGCCGCGGTGTTCGTGCGCGATCCAGAGAAAAAAAGAACGCGGCGCACCGTTTCCGCATGAAAGTCGACGGACGCGTTCTTGCGTTTCCACGGATCCAAGGCGCTCGAGCACTATCCCTGTCATCTGCTCGATGATTATGACATAACTCCTACCCCGTGGCTATTCTTCTTCTTCTTCTTCTTCTTCTTCTTCTTCTTCTTCTTCTTCTTCTTCTTCTTCTTCTTCTTCTTCTTCTTCTTCTTCTTCTTCTTCTTCTTCTTCTTCTTCTTCTTCTTCTTCTTCTTCTTCTTCTTCTTCTTCTTCTTCTTCTTCTTCTTCTTCTTCTTCTTCTTCTTCTTCTTCTTCTTCTTCTTCTTCTTCTTCTTCTTCTTCTTCTTCTTCTTCTTCTTCTTCTTCTTCTTCTTCTTCTTCTTCTTCTTCTTCTTCTTCTTCTTCTTCTTCTTCTTCTTCTTCTTCTTCTTCTTCTTCTTCTTCTTCTTCTTCTTCTTCTTCTTCTTCTTCTTCTTCTTCTTCTTCTTCTTCTTCTTCTTCTTCTTCTTCTTCTTCTTCTTCTTCTTCTTCTTCTTCTTCTTCTTCTTCTTCTTCTTCTTCTTCTTCTTCTTCTTCTTCTTCTTCTTCTTCTTCTTCTTCTTCTTCTTCTTCTTCTTCTTCTTCTTCTTCTTCTTCTTCTTCTTCTTCTTCTTCTTCTTCTTCTTCTTCTTCTTCTTCTTCTTCTTCTTCTTCTTCTTCTTCTTCTTCTTCTTCTTCTTCTTCTTCTTCTTCTTCTTCTTCTTCTTCTTCTTCTTCTTCTTCTTCTTCTTCTTCTTCTTCTTCTTCTTCTTCTTCTTCTTCTTCTTCTTCTTCTTCTTCTTCTTCTTCTTCTTCTTCTTCTTCTTCTTCTTCTTCTTCTTCTTCTTCTTCTTCTTCTTCTTCTTCTTCTTCTTCTTCTTCTTCTTCTTCTTCTTCTTCTTCTTCTTCTTCTTCTTCTTCTTCTTCTTCAGGATCTATCCGATAATCGATAAGCTCGCGGTTAGGACGTAACGCGATCTAGAAAGCTGCGCGAAACTGGTGTAATTAACGAACACGCGAATATCATCTACCAGCCACGATGGAAATCGCGTGCTATGCAGAACCTATTGTCGGCGGTAGACACCGTCTACCGAATCTTTCGAAGGTTCTCGGACGATCGTGCAAGACTTCGGCGGTCTAGAGGGACCAGCCTCTACCTCCGAATGGCGAAGTCGTCGAGAAGCGGCGCCCGTCCGGGTGTCGGAGCGCAGCGGATTATCGGAAAAACGGTCTCGCGACCGTGAATCGACGGGCAACCTTCGTGCGGCGCGTTTAGGCGCCCTAGACTCGCCGCGTGTCGCACCGCGAACCAAATAACGGTACGGATGCTGGACGAGCACGTTAACACCGGTAACGGTATCCGTTCGTCGTATACTCGTTTCGGCGCGAAGAACTTTGTGGGCCCAAAACTACGGCTAACTGTGTCTGATATTTCACGAACAGCCGTTACGTCCCGACGCGGCGACTATCAACGGTGACACGGGAGCTGGCCGGTTCGTATCCTTCGTCGGACAGCCGTGGACACGAATAACAAAATCCCCGACGATTTATCTTCTCTCTGTTCCCGTCCCTTCGGTTCTTTGCTTCTCTTTCGTTTCTTCTGGGGAAAAAGAAAAAGATCGACGGACGAACGCGAGACGAATCGCTAACGAAGCCGAGACCGCGAAGAACGACCAGATACGCGCGGAAACGACCAAAAAAATCGCGACGTTTCGTCTGCTTTTTTTCCCTTTCTTTCTTTGTTTTCTTTTCTATGCTATTTCAATCGAACGATCTACACCGACCGTCGCAGGGAACAACGGAAAACGGCCGAGCGGTTAAGGGTGGCAGTTTTACCAGCGAGTCGACCCCGCCGACGTTGGCGAATTAAACGAGGCGGCGATTATTTTCGAAGACGAAATTCCGCGACAGCGTTTCCAGCGGACGTCGCGCAATCGAGCCGTCGGTCGACCCGACAAATGAAAAATGTTACAGTTTCACTGACCTTATCCGGGTGTTGCGTGCAACGAATATATGCCCGCGCGACGCTCTCGAGTGTCGATAAAACTGCCGATCGAGCGAATACCGTTCAACGGGCCCGTCCATGTAACGGAGGGAAAAGCCAAATCGTCGGAATCGTCGATTAAACGGACGGGGAACGAGCGACGCGAACGACACCGTACACCAGATACCTTGGAAACTTTCTCCTCGCGCAAATTTACCGATCCTCCTCTTATGCCACCTTGCCCGAGTCTTTTGCAAGCGATACACCTCAGAATTGTCACTCGTACCGTCGTTGCTCTCGCTTTTCCTTTCTCCTCCTTCTACTCTCCTTACCGTGCTGCCCCTTCTCTTTACCCTTTGACTCTCCTTCCCCTTCCTGGTCGGCTTGATCGCGTTCGACCCCCCAGTTGTGATACCTCCCTTCCGCACACGGTTCCTCTTCTTCTTCTTCTTCTTCTTCTCCTCCTCCTCTTTTACACCTTCTTGTCCCTTTATCGCTCCTTGCTCGCACCTCCTTCGCGCGTCCCTGCGCTGTCGGCCTTCGCTCGTTTCCACCCCCGAGCACCTGCCAGCATTTCTCCCCAAAGTCTCGAATCAACTTCGGAGTACGATGGACGTTCTACCGTGTCCTCTCGAGCCGATCGGGAGGCTGGTACCGGATACGAGTACGTCGGTCTATAATTTTACTGTAAAAACTATACGCGTCTCGTACTCGATAATTTAATAATTCGCAAAATCACCGTGCGCGAATCGTGCAAGATCGACCGACCGACCGATCGATCGACAATAGACGAGACCGCGATGCGTATTGCACGAGAGTGTAGGGACACGCGCTATCACGGAGAGGTGGGACGGCCGAGGCGCTCACTGAAAAGACGTGTTTTCGACTGGGCGAGTTCCAACGAAACCTGAACACGCGCAACGTCCCAAGTCCGGCTGGCAGCCGTCGAAGAAGCGTCATTCACGCTGGCAACTGCAGCAGCGTGCACGATTGTTTCTGCCAACGATCGGACGGACGGGCACCCACCACTCCGCGCGACCGATAGGCGACGCCGATCAACTTTGGCCGTTCGTTTCGTCGCGGTTCACGCTTCTGGAATTCGTGTCCTCTACCAATGAACCTCTCTGTCAATTGACGAGCCTCGGCTCTGCTCGCCGCCGCCGACGACGACGATTCGACACCGAACGTGTCCCGCGACGTCAGCAAAAAAATACCGTCGTTAACGGCTACGTGACACATAAATTCCCGCGTCCTTTACAGTCTTCTTTAACTGCAATATTTTTTTTTCTGTGTGTGTGTGTGTGTGTGTGCTTTCCGCCACGTGTCAGAAGAGTCTGCAGGTTTCCCGCTTTTCGACGTATCATGCTTTTTTCAGGCACCGGAGTCGTACATGCGATACATGCAACGCGGATGGGCGGCGAAGGAGAGAAAAAAAAAACACCGATCGTCCATGGTCGAGAATATAGGAAATAAATACAAGCTCGACGAAGAAGTATTGCCTAATACGTATTTGTATTTATTGACTCGGGGTATGTACTTGAAATTCCTTCAAGCCGATCGCGGTTAACGTTAACGTTAAACGTTATGTCGCAAAGTGCAAACGAGGATCCGACCGGTTGCTCGGTTGTATTGTTTTAGTTGCTGCGTCGAACAGTATGCGCTGCCGGAGAGCGGGCCACGCCTGGAAACAGAGACTTTTCGGTATACAATAATATAAACTCTCGGTATCGAACCGTGGGTTCATTGTGTGCGTTTCGATGCCCATCTTTGTCGGTGTTTACGAGCTGAGCGGTATACATCGTCGTTCGAATGTCCGGCGATATCTCGCGTGTGGGTCAATAGAACCCGGCAGCGGCTTCTTTCGGATGTAAGTCGGAAAACCGGCGGTTTTTAATCTGTATTTATTCGTTCGATCACAGCGCGTTATTCGTTCGCTTTATCCGCTGATTGTATCAAATATATTGATAACGATAAAAAGAATACTAAGGCACTTCTACCGTCGAAAATGGCTTCGTCCGCTGATTAACACGTCTAATCAGTAATATATTCTTGAAATATATGGCACCGGCCGCGACAAGGCAGATCGGCCTTGGAAGGCACGGCGGACAACGCTCGTTCGGATTTCTTATCGCGAAGAATTGGCCGGCTTAGAATGCGCATGTTTCGTTGCGTTAATCTCGATTGTATGGCCGGCGTGTGCACGTGTGGCCGGTGCGAGTACAGGATAGAAGATGGAACCACGAGTGAAACGCAAAGGCAATACCTATCAACTGGTTTTGCAACGAACGGAATGAAAAAACTCGTCCGACGCAAAAGTTCACGAAAACGGTAAAGAAAACGAGAAAAACAGAAGACGTCGCAAAAGGTCGGTCCATCTTCTTCCATTTTTCGTGGTGTCGCGCCGCGCATTCTATAAACGTACTATTCTGGATATTCCAGCGATGCGCGCACGTAAAAAATATGGGGAGAACCGACGACGCGGTGAAAACCGTATTTGATTTTCTTAAAAAAAACGATACTACGTCTATCGTACGCGAGAACGCCTCGAGCAGAAAAATAAGAACCGTCTTCATCTGGCATTCAAGTCTCCGGCGATCCGCGCCGGGAGATCTCGAGCGGGAGCCGACAAATCTACATGATGAACGAACAATCACCGAGACAGCATCTGTCGATGAGAATTTTCCATCTGATGGAACATCGTGTTTTACATATTGATATTTCATATAAATAAATGGACTGGCCGACGTCATGATTGTAAAGTTCTTTTGGAGCAAAAAGTTACGCAGTCTTCCACAGGCAATTTACGTAATGCGAAACACTCGAGGCAGGCTTTTTGCGGAGACACACGCAAATTGTTCTGTTGTTTACGATTTTATCTACGATCTGCGGTGTCGGGCCGCTTCATACGTATATTATGGATCTTTACGCGTGACGAAAGTAACGGAGGCATTGTTTTAGGACAAAGGTACGCGGCCACACGACCGTTGTCCCAGCAGTCCCTCCGGGTCCACGGTTTTTTCTTCATCGAGCGGCGAGAGCGCACCTCGCGGGATCCTTCGTTACCTTTAAACATCGCTTTCGAGATTATGATTATTCTCGCGGCACTTGCGTACCGGACGATGATGTACTCTCGTCTCTCGAGCCGATCTCTCTTAGAAAACATTTGCAAGGGCACTTGAGCCAAGGCACGCCGGGCGGTTACGTTATGTAAGATTATTCTCGTACGTTTAAAATTTCAGTTGTGTGCGTCTTTACGCGTGATAGCCGAGAGCTTCGAGAACGACGGAGAAGGAACGACCGATGGGGGGAAGCATAACATGTGTGGGAGTACGCGGAGATAGAAATGGGAGGGGAGGGGAGGCAGACGGAGAAGAGAGAAACGAAAAGGAGGGAGACAGCCTCCCGGAGAAGATGGAATAAAGGAAAAACGGAGATAAAAGGAATCGTCGAAGGAAGACGAGCGTGCACGTATCGGTGCGCGCGACGCATGCGGAACAAACACAACGTCCGCTCGAAGGCGATATTTGCAGAGTTCGGACAACCGTAACCAAGTGTTTCGTAGAAGAGGAAAGAAAAAAAGAAGAAGAAAAGAAGTTTGCGAATGACGAGACAGTTGACATTTAAGAACTCCGAGTCGAGTCGCTAACCAGCCAGAAATGATTCTGATCCTTTTGATCGGCTCGTTAACGAAGCGGCCGTTGTCACGCATATATGTAGCTCGACGATCGCGCATAGTAGTCGATTCCAATGGAATCTGTCGACTCTCTTCCATCGGGCAGGCGGCTGCTGTTCAAGGCGTGCGCGTATTCCGAGGACCAGTCGCGAAGGAAGATCTTCTCCATTTGTTGACGAAGATTGTCGGGCGTTTGGTCCCCGATGTTCTCGAACACCGTTCCCACACCTACGACACGTCACATGCTAATTCCAAAGTAAACCGTAGGAGGAAAATAGATGGAGCTGCGTAATTACCGGCGGTGTTAGTAAAATAATCGCCGGACCAATTGCTGGTGCCCACGTACGCCGCGGTGTCCGTCACCATGTACTTGTTATGATTCACCCTCGAGAATGGGATCTTGTCGAAGCGGGGGTTGCTGGGCACCACGAATCTCCTCTGCAATAAACATTACGCAAGCGTTGATTCTATAGGCTGAATTCAAGGTCTGAAAGGAGAAGAAGCTACTAGCTACCAACCACTTCGATTTTCACGCCCGGGTAGCTGCCGGTCAACTCCGTCAGCGATTTCAGAAACAGAGTCTCCGATTTTCGCGAATGCTTCCAGGAGGAGATGAGCAGCCGCACTTGGATCTTGCGCTCGACGGCTGCGGCTCGCAGGGCGTCGTCAATCACCGACCAATACCTAATCGAGTTGTCGTTCGAACGATAGAACATATCAAACGATTACGTTCGGGAACGCGTACAATTTGGGAAGGGGAGATACAATTATTCGAGCGTTGCGGCTCGTTTTTTATTGTTACCAACAACATCTTTTATCTCCTCTTCCAAAATTATTCATCTTTGTGCACCATCTGGGCGCGAATTAGGAAGAAATTACTATACCTGATTTTGGTGGAATATAACATCAAGGGGAAATAGTCCATGACCGCGACGTAGACGAACTTCTCTGCTTTCTCGATGCAATGAAGTATGGCGTCAACGTCGTCGGTTCTACCCTTCGGCGAGAAGGGCGGAGGCGAGCTCTAAAAAGCACGTGTAAATCCGCCCTTAGAACCGGCCGAGTCTCATCGCGACAGAACGTGGACACTCACCGATATGAACGTTCGATATCTATTGTCCATAAATGTAAAATTGATCGGATTATTGACGTTGATGTTGGTGTTTAACGAGTCCGGCCAGACAGCCGGTACTTTACCGTCCTCCGCCACCGTCCAGTAAACCTAAATCATAATTATTTTAATAGACATGTATCCGTAACGTCTGCCGGCGTTGTTCAATTATCCAGTCAGCAAAGATAAGAGACATAAAAACTGTCCGATCGCGTCGGATTTTGTTCTCGGTAGACCAAAAAACCACTTGCATCGAATATCTTGGCATAATCGTTCGCCAGACAGCTGCAATTCAGCGCCATCAATCCAAACTCTTTCACTTGCGTAAGCGATCGCCAATCCATGTTCGCCGAGCCGACGTACACGTGCGTTCTATCGATCAGCCAGAGCTTCGTGTGCAGCACCCCAGCACCAAACAACGCCGCGAAGTTCAGACTCTTCACCTGTTCGAATTTTCATTGAATACCTCGGAGATCATCCGTTCGCTCGATTCGCTCGCTAAGAATTTCTCCTACAAGGCGAGCCTTTGTTTACCTTGGCGTTCGCTTTCTTCGCTAGGATTTCGGTGTCGATGTTCGGGCTGACCTGGGACGGCATGTTTTGGGCGATGCGCAACAGAACGTTGCGGTCTCTTCCAGCCTCGAGGAGCAGACGAAATATGTCCTCGCCCTGAAAACGATTGGCATTCGTTGGTCGAACGGATTGCAAACGCGACGCGGATTTACGAATCGATCGACGATTCACCTGTCTCGCGCTGTCGTCCGGGTACACGTCCTCCCTCTTTAAAGTCCAATAGTACGAGGCTATCTCTATTTTCTCTCGCGCCAGCGAGATCAATTCCGTCCACGAGTCGTAGGTGCTTTGCAGGAACAGAGTGTCCTGGGTATAATTCATGCCGATCGGTATGCTCTCGACGAACGACAAATTGCAGCCGTCCATGCAACTCGAATTGAAACCGAAAACAGTGCTGTTCGTGACGTACTTGTCCGCCGCGTGATCCAACAACGGCAATAAAACGACCAGCACTATCAAAATTAAGATGATGGTGATTGGTATGCAACTGGGTCTGCACCATCCTTGCGCTCCTCCCCATCTATCATCGCCAAGCGCAAACAATCGAGGCCCGCTATTAATATCGCGCTCTCTTCCGAGCATCCGGTTCGACGAGCACGTGCTATCAAACCCTTACGATCGCTAGGTACGAAAGGGCTACTAACTTGCCGTTCGTCAACGAGTCGTCGGCGTCGTTCCGCAGCATGAAGCCGGACTGGTCCCATAGATCGAAATCGTCGTCGGGCACCACGCTGCTGGTGTGGACGACCGCGCCGCTGCCAGAAATGTTACCACCCCCGCTGCCGCCGGTAATGCAGCCCGAGGGATTCGTTTCTAGCCGCGCGTTCTCAGACACCGTCTGCAAACGGTAATTAGGCGAAGAGAGATTAGCTGTAACGAGACGCAACGCCATGCGTCGCAGGGCAAGAAATACTATTATACTACTATAATACTAATACTATAATACTACTAATACTACTATGTAAATATCATTGAGATTATCTTGCCGTACTTTAACGAGTTTAACTAGCGACGGAGATTTCTATTAAGAACCTGTTCGGTATAAATGTTATTCTGTTCTTTTAAGTTGAAATAAAATTCTGTTCTCTTCTCCACGATACAGGATGTCCCAAAAATGTCTCGCAATCCGAAAGTGGCGGGTTCCTCGGGTCATTTGAAGCAACTTCTTCCCTGTCTCTTATACACATCTAGATGTGTATAAGAGACAGGTTTGGCTGGGCCGCCTCGCGTCAGCCGTGCTCGATTCTTATTGGTCACTGTTTTTCGTTAATAACTCGTTAACGGTGCCTCGGAGAACATTTTTGTAAAGGAAGAAGCTGCTTCAAATGATCCGAGGAACCCGCCATTTCCGGATTGCAAGACATTCTTGGGACACCCCGTATATTGAAAGATGTGTATAAGAGACAGGTTTGGCTGGGCCGCCTCGCGTCAGCCGTGCTCGATTCTTATTGGTCACTGTTTTTCGTTAATAACTCGTTAACGGTGCCTCGGAGAACATTTTTGTAAAGGAAGAAGCTGCTTCAAATGATCCGAGGAACCCGCCATTTCCGGATTGCAAGACATTCTTGGGACACCCCGTATATTGAAAGATGTGTATAAGAGACAGGTTTGGCTGGGCCGCCTCGCGTCAGCCGTGCTCGATTCTTATTGGTCACTGTTTTTCGTTAATAACTCGTTAACGGTGCCTCGGAGAACATTTTTGTAAAGGAAGAAGCTGCTTCAAATGATCCGAGGAACCCGCCATTTCCGGATTGCAAGACATTCTTGGGACACCCCGTATATTGAAAGATGTGTATAAGAGACAGGTTTGGCTGGGCCGCCTCGCGTCAGCCGTGCTCGATTCTTATTGGTCACTGTTTTTCGTTAATAACTCGTTAACGGTGCCTCGGAGAACATTTTTGTAAAGGAAGAAGCTGCTTCAAATGATCCGAGGAACCCGCCATTTCCGGATTGCAAGACATTCTTGGGACACCCCGTATATTGAAAGATGTGTATAAGAGACAGGTTTGGCTGGGCCGCCTCGCGTCAGCCGTGCTCGATTCTTATTGGTCACTGTTTTTCGTTAATAACTCGTTAACGGTGCCTCGGAGAACATTTTTGTAAAGGAAGAAGCTGCTTCAAATGATCCGAGGAACCCGCCATTTCCGGATTGCAAGACATTCTTGGGACACCCCGTATATTGAAAGATGTGTATAAGAGACAGGTTTGGCTGGGCCGCCTCGCGTCAGCCGTGCTCGATTCTTATTGGTCACTGTTTTTCGTTAATAACTCGTTAACGGTGCCTCGGAGAACATTTTTGTAAAGGAAGAAGCTGCTTCAAATGATCCGAGGAACCCGCCATTTCCGGATTGCAAGACATTCTTGGGACACCCCGTATATTGAAAGATGTGTATAAGAGACAGGTTTGGCTGGGCCGCCTCGCGTCAGCCGTGCTCGATTCTTATTGGTCACTGTTTTTCGTTAATAACTCGTTAACGGTGCCTCGGAGAACATTTTTGTAAAGGAAGAAGCTGCTTCAAATGATCCGAGGAACCCGCCATTTCCGGATTGCAAGACATTCTTGGGACACCCCGTATATTGAAAGATGTGTATAAGAGACAGGTTTGGCTGGGCCGCCTCGCGTCAGCCGTGCTCGATTCTTATTGGTCACTGTTTTTCGTTAATAACTCGTTAACGGTGCCTCGGAGAACATTTTTGTAAAGGAAGAAGCTGCTTCAAATGATCCGAGGAACCCGCCATTTCCGGATTGCAAGACATTCTTGGGACACCCCGTATATTGAAAGATGTGTATAAGAGACAGGTTTGGCTGGGCCGCCTCGCGTCAGCCGTGCTCGATTCTTATTGGTCACTGTTTTTCGTTAATAACTCGTTAACGGTGCCTCGGAGAACATTTTTGTAAAGGAAGAAGCTGCTTCAAATGATCCGAGGAACCCGCCATTTCCGGATTGCAAGACATTCTTGGGACACCCCGTATATTGAAAGATGTGTATAAGAGACAGGTTTGGCTGGGCCGCCTCGCGTCAGCCGTGCTCGATTCTTATTGGTCACTGTTTTTCGTTAATAACTCGTTAACGGTGCCTCGGAGAACATTTTTGTAAAGGAAGAAGCTGCTTCAAATGATCCGAGGAACCCGCCATTTCCGGATTGCAAGACATTCTTGGGACACCCCGTATATTGAAAGATGTGTATAAGAGACAGGTTTGGCTGGGCCGCCTCGCGTCAGCCGTGCTCGATTCTTATTGGTCACTGTTTTTCGTTAATAACTCGTTAACGGTGCCTCGGAGAACATTTTTGTAAAGGAAGAAGCTGCTTCAAATGATCCGAGGAACCCGCCATTTCCGGATTGCAAGACATTCTTGGGACACCCCGTATATTGAAAGATGTGTATAAGAGACAGGTTTGGCTGGGCCGCCTCGCGTCAGCCGTGCTCGATTCTTATTGGTCACTGTTTTTCGTTAATAACTCGTTAACGGTGCCTCGGAGAACATTTTTGTAAAGGAAGAAGCTGCTTCAAATGATCCGAGGAACCCGCCATTTCCGGATTGCAAGACATTCTTGGGACACCCCGTATATTGAAGTACATTCAAGAAAATGTAGGCGCGAACACAATTTTTCTTCTTCTTCCAAGAGATGATTGTAATCGAAAAACATCCAGTCGTCGTAACTGCGACGAAAATGGTACGGCAACGTGTTAGTTAATAGCGATGGAAGATCATTCTGCTACGTACAGACAACTTGTGTTTAACGAAAGCGGTCTTGTTCCTGCGATGCGGCAGCAACACGACCACGTCCTGATCTTTCGCTGCCTCCTTCGCATACTTCGTGTAGGACTTCACTGTGGAGGAAGCTCCCTTGCTCACGGTGGTGTTCGCGGGATTCGCCGAGTCCTCGTCCTTCACGGAGCATTTCGAATACGCGATGTTCCTCACGTTGTTGTTGCCACCGTACGAAACGTTGTGCGTGTTATTCACCTTCGGAATCGAATATCGTGCAGTCAGTGAGCATACCGGCGTGCATTTCCTCCGAATAAAACGTGAGACCGCTCCGGCATTCTCGTAAAACTTGCGGAAGGCTTACTTGTACCAAGATATGGCAAGCTTGAGAGGCGATCTGAAAGAGGCCGTCCTGCAAGTTGCGCCCCGTGTGCTCATTATTTTCGGAACGACTGCTTCCCTTCCAGCCGAAAAAGGACATCCCTACGGATTTGCTGGAAACGAAAAAAAAAGAAGAATTGCCATTCTTTCGGCCCTATCGGCGCGACGGCCTAATATACATAATCTCTACGACTATTTCTCTTCGGCTGTACACTTGAAGCATTACCGAAGAAAAGGGAATATATGGATGTATCAGCAACCATTTTTTTACGCTCTTTCAAACGAGAACTTTAGGCTAGGTCGACGAATGTTGTACGATTCTAGCGACAGAATAGCAGACAGAAAAAATGTGAACGGGTTGAAGAAACACACCCGAAGAAACACAGCGCGGTTAACCCTCGGACTATCGTGATTTCGAGGCTTGCACCGAAGACATTTCTGACTCGCATCGATATTTTAATAATATATATTAGTTGTGAGCCGAGGGAGTCGCGTGATCCGAAACGCAAAGGCAACCGATAACAAACAGAATGGAAGCGGAAGAAAGATGGTACCGGCACCACTGTAGGTTCTGGCCGAAGTAAATGCGCAATTCCGAGCGATTTGCGAACAGAAATTGATGGCTCGCTAAATACGTACCTCGTTAAAGAAACTGGGCAGCAAGCATTCGCGATGCGAACGTCGCTCCAGCCGTCGCGACTGTTGACTTACCTATCGACGTACCTTGCGGAACGACTACATGGTGTCGATCGAAAAGTCACGTTTGCTACTACGGACTTGCGCCCAAGAGCTTATCGTGTCCTAGATAAATTTCGACTTTGGACGTCGATCCTACGACCATTTTCTTAGATTCTGAATTCGGGCGGAAATTTCTAATTGACGAAAATTTCGTCTGTTTTGTCTCGGCGGCGTGAGCTTTTTCGCTTGAAACAAAATCAATACGGAACTGTCCGTGTAACGTTTAATTGCCGCGCATACATCGGTCGGTTCCCCTCGCGCCGTCTTTAGACTTCGATGCTTCGTATCCTTACGAAAGGGATTCAGCATTTTGCCGATTAATCGTTTTTACTTGGGTAGAAGAGAGTACGTTATAATTGTGGAAACTTTCTTGCTGGGTATACGATGACTTTGGGCTGTTGTACTCGATTAGATCACCCCCGAAATATCTGTCTAAACTATGACGAACAGGTGGTACAAGGAACGAGTTTCTAGAAACCAATTAAGTTCGATTTAGCATACTTCCCTCCCCCCCCCCTCCCCCTCGCCCCGTATATGCACGACCGAAAATACTACAATTTATGCATTCCTGTGGCACGTACTCGCGTGTTCGCGGATTCTTAGGAAGCCAATTTATTTCTCAGAATGTCTGTGTACGGTTTTATTATCTGTTCGAGCTGATCCAGATCTGATTTATGCTTACGATACGACTATTTTTATAGCAGATATGTTTTCTGCACACTTTCAACGATTCCATGTACAACGATCTGACCTGTGTTCGTCGGAAAAATCGTTTGTGCCTTGTGCAAGCCGAAATCAATAATGCGAAACTCTTGATAGAAAGAAAATCGAATCAGGGTGAAATCAAGCTTTTGCGAGGTATAGCTTCCAGACGTGAACCTGTTTTGTAGTTATTACCATGAGAGTAAATTTCAATGGGTTGAAAAACGCGCTATCTTGTTCGTTACTACCGTATTTATGGCTAACAAAATTACGTTACCGACAGGGAATGCGCGAGGTTGGATAATTTCTAAAGAGTCCTCATAGAGGTTGCTAACTGTGCGCGATCAATTTTTATAATGTGCGACACCGGTCTATGTTCGCTGATTTTCACAGTCGAACGAGACAATAGCAAATATGTAAACGCAACTGATCAACACTCGAGAAAAGTCAGGGGAGAAAACATAATCACTACGATTAAATTGAAATGTTGTGAGAAATTGTGAAGGTTTCAATTCGGTGCAGCTGTTTCTTGCAACAGTGTACTTAGAAACAGGGTGCGAGGAGTTATAGGGATCTATATGAATGAGCAACAATGCAACGTCGTCAGTTTTTGTATGTACAACAACTGAAACGAATGGAAATCAAAGAATGAAAAAGAACTGACAAAAGGTGTCGAGTCTAAAAAAAAGAGAAAATTACACTTTGACTATGTTCTTTTGGACAAGAAATAATTACCAATGGCTCATTTGTTGAAAATTTTGCGAATAACAGTTGCTTCATAAACTTCTTCGCGCCAAATAGTCAAAAGTTGTCTCTTACGTTCCGTCAGTGTTCTGTCATTATTTTTCAAAATACGCACAGATGAATCGAATCAACTTAAAACTCACAACGTCACAATTAAATCTTGATATTTCGATTAGAAAAGCACTAGTTGATGTGTAGTATAACTAAACGCGCATCGTTCGAAAGAAAACTTCCTAGTTTCGTACAGTGCCCCTTGTGGCGGTTCTCCCACTTTACATCGAGGTCCAATGAGAGGATACAATAAAAAGATCACTAGATTCGCTAAGATTTGATTGGATCTGGATTAGATCGAAAATATAGTATACGTTGGTAACTTATCAGTGACTATGAAATTTAGTTCTTAAATGTACACGTGTTAAGCTGGCTCACCATAGTAACTGTTACAGCTCCCGTCTTGTTCGTACGTGAACATAGCAAATTAAACTGCCATCTTTAAATATTATTTTGAAGGAAATTTCAAATTAGTATAACTTCGTGTAATTACTCTATTTTGTTTATTATAAAATCAATAATATTCAAAACTATGTGATAAAGCACTATTTAGAAATAAAATACAAATGTTAATGTTAGCAACGAGCGATTGAAAATCGTCGCATTCGTTGCTCGGAGCTCTTTTCGTACAGCGTACTAAATATAAATATATGTAATCAAATTCGTTTTTTGATTTTACTAAACCAGAATCCACTAGAACCTCATGCAACATAGCCAATATTAATGAAACGTTGTTCAAAAAATTGCTCTTTATTTCAAGATTCCATAAAACGTTATTTGAACTTTCAGTATATGTAGCAGTATACCATTCTATATATTTTCTTTTCATGACTATAGTAAGTTATGTTTGAAATTCATTTCTAACCGTAACGTAACCGTTAACGAATTGGGCTTACAATAATCTTGCTGTGGTATTTTTAAGTGAATAAGATAGTGGAACATATCCTAAATACATAATTTCATAAAGAAACTATCAATTTCTTCGAATTCAATGGCTATTAGCGCATCGTTCTATCGCAATGTTTCGTTATTGACTGAATTAGTTCCGCCCAGCGAGGACTTTAAACAACATTTTCGTGAGGTATATGCAATTTATTAAATAAAACATATCCTATACTGTAAATATGTATCTCGTTGTAATTTCTGTTTTCTATGGCATTTTGTAGGGCATGTTTGACAAGCCCAACACTGCAGGTTTTCTGCATACGTCCCACTATTTATTAACAGTGTACGATTCGAAACGCTTTAAAAAGTTGTTCGAGTGGCCAGTGACATGTAAAAAAACGGAAGCAAAGTACCGTAATAATGTCAAAACGTTTTTAACAATCATATCCGCGGAGAACCCTGATGTTGGATTTCCAAATATACTTGTTTCTCATTTGTTCCATGCTAGTGGAAGCAAGTTTGTGATTATTATGTGGAAGTTATCACAGGTCGTGTTAAGAAAATATATTACTTCTACAAGTAAGGTGTTTAGTATTGAAATTATTTTGTTACTAATCATTATTTATTTTGTTATAATGTGTTTACTTTTACAGATATTCACGATGTTATGTTTGTTCCTCAAGTAGGAATTGAAGCAAATGTAGGAAAAAATTTTTTAAAAAAGACCTATGCAAAGATTTGTTCTAATATTACAGATCAACGTCATAAATTAATGGAAATGGAAAACACAGCTAACACATTTTTAAAGTAATATCTAGGTTCTTAATCTTTTATCCACGCTGTAACATTATAATTAAGATTGTTCGTCCATTTCTTTGTTTTTAGGCAGGAGGAGCAAAAATTGAACGACATTAAAACGGAAATTTTTGAAACGGAACAAGTAATTAAAACTCTTGCAGACAATGCTCCTGTTCATCGTACAATTAAAAAAGCCTTGGCAGATATGAATAATGAAGATGTGATACAAAGTTAATGTTATGCTCAAAATATCATATTGCATGATTTCTATATTCAAATCCGACCTTTAAGCATAATGTTCATATATTAATTTCAGTGTGGAAGTCATCTATACAGAAATGCGTAAATTATTTGCAAGACAAAAACTCAATTTTGAAACGTCTAAAGGAACTTAGTCAGAAAGTAAATGATTTAGTACTGAGTAAGAATAGCGATATTCAAACATTGGATGCAAATCAATACCAGAAGATAAATTACTTGGAGATGCCTGAACTGTTTCCTTACAATATGAAAGTAAGCAATGTTTCACGACATACCTACATATCTGATTCTCATAAAAACCAGAGGAAAATGTATTTTCTGTTTCAGACCATCCTACTTCAATTATATACAAATGAAAAATTAAATTTACATAATTTTTTTTTACTATTCAATTCCGTATTGACTCAGTTGTGCCAGCGATTAAAATTAAATTTATTAGAGGACCTTTCCGTATGTCGACTACAAACAGAAACGAGTTGTAAGGACATGACCGAAGCTTTAAACATGTTCCAAATGTATTTATCAGACGTCAAAACATTGACATCGGAAACACGTCAAAAGTTATGCAATATATTACATCAAAATAATATCGTTCAAATTTGTGATCATTTGGACGTATCTCCTATTAATAATGTTCTTTTAATGTCGACACCATCTATAAAGATTGATACCGACTCTACAGACGTAGAAATCAATCCACAAAACTGCCTACTACTTACTCCAGTGGGAGGTATAACTCGCACTATTTATAATACTATTGGAATTATTAGATATACAAAACTATATTAAAAACCACTTTTTAGCTATACATAGGCCGTTATTTCGGAGATATGAACATTTGAAATCAAATCATTTGGAACCAAGATCGAAGTTAAGGGAAAATTTGTTTGCATCTCACACTAATCTTGACGATTCAACACCGACAATTACCATTGACACACCGTCGTTACATGTTCTTCCAGTTTCGAGTAAAAAAAAATTGTTATCTTCGAAACAAGCTGAAAAATATTCTCGATTATTTTCTACACGTACGAAAAGAAATAACTCTGCAGGTTTGTAAATCATAGTAAATCACTGTAGCATTGATTTCCCTTACAAAATGTCATAAATATATGTTTATTTTATTTACAGCAATCGCAAGCGTAGTGTCTGTACCTTGTACCAATAAAGAAGCAAACTCAACTGCAATTGCAAATACAATTGAAGGATTGAATAATATATCAGAACTCAGTCTGAATATGTCAGGAACGACCGTATGTGACAAGAGTATCGAATTTACTACTCCTATAAAATTAACTATTGCAAAAGATTATAAGTCTGAAGACGCGACTGAAATCGAAGATGTAGTACCAAATGTTCTTAATATATGCGAAAAGAGAACGACAGAAACTAATCAACAAAGAAGACGTTCGATCAGCGACTTGGTTGAACGCTATAAGAAATTACTTGATCGTAATGATCATACAAGTGATTAATTATCCAAAACATGATAATAAATATCTGCAAGATAAAGAGTTTTAAAACCTATATATTTTTTATAAAAGTTGTAATAAATAATTAGTTTGCATTCTTTTATGGACTATTGTCATGAATCAAACCTTCAAATCTTTCTTTTATGCAATAAAGTAATAATAATTTTAAGAAGTTATACATAAATACACATTGCCTGTTTTACATTAATATGTATATTATACAGACTGACGAATTTAAATTAGCGTTCTGAAACTGTAAAAATAAAATACTCTACCCATACTATACTTGTTTACGACAAACATAATAAAAGAGAAGTCAGAATATTTGTTCATTTGTGTATTGAAGTGGAAACTCTGGTTTCTATGAAGACACTTCGTAGTCGCGGTGAATTAAACTAGATTATATATGCACATGTATTTTGATCGTTGATTTATATGCATATACATGTTCAAAATTGAGTTTTTGTCTTGCAAATAATTTACGCATTTCTGTATAGATGACTTCCACACTGAAATTAATATATGAACATTATGCTTAAAGGTCGGATTTGAATATAGAAATCATGCAATATGATATTTTGAGCATAACATTAACTTTGTATCACATCTTCATTATTCATATCTGCCAAGGCTTTTTTAATGTACGATGAACAGAAGCTTTGTCTGCAAGAGTTTTAATTACTTGTTCCGTTTCAAAAATTTCCGTTTTAATGTCGTTCAATTTTTGCTCCTCCTGCCTAAAAACAAAGAAATGGACGAACAATCTTAATTATAATGTTACAGCGTGGATAAAAGATTAAGAACCTAGATATTACTTTAAAAATGTGTTAGCTGTGTTTTCCATTTCCATTAATTTATGACGTTGATCTGTAATATTAGAACAAATCTTTGCATAGGTCTTTTTTAAAAAATTTTCCCTACATTTGCTTCAATTCCCACTTGAGGAACAAACATAACATCGTGAATATCTGTAAAAGTAAACACATTATAGCAAAATAAATAATAATTAGTAACAAAATGATTTCAATACTAAACACCTTACTTGTAGAAGTAATATATTTTCTTAACACGACCTGTGATAACTTCCACATAATAATCACGAACTTGCTTCCACTAGCATGAAACAAATGAGAAACAAGTATATTTGGAAATTCAACATCAGGGTTCTCCGCGAATATGATGGTATATGCAATTTATTAAATTAAACATATCCTATACTGTAAATATGTATCTCGTTGTAATTTCTGTTTTCTATGGCATTTTGTATGGTATGTTTGACAAGCCCAACACTGCAGGTTTTCTACATACGTCTCACTACGTATCAGCGACTTGGTTGAACGCTATAAGAAATTACTTGATCGTAATGATTACAGTGTCCGACAAAATCAAGCTTTTTTCTGAATTCCTATAGCTACTATGAAATTCTTGTAGAGCTTCACTCCCTGAACAAGAATCCGAAAACCGAATTGCTCCATCACCCACAGTTTTCTAAATAAACGAACTTTTGTAAAAACCTAAAATTTTCGACAAAAATGAGGTATTGCATGACAAGTAAAAACGTTAGAAAGTTCTAATCTGTGTTAAAAGATAGGGGAGAGTTTCCCGAATATAGTGGTATGCAATTTATTAATTGTTTTTGGTCCTAAATAGCAATAAATTCATGTCAAAGTTTAAAAAAGTGTCGACGTGCGCAGTTTCTCCACAATATTTTTGTATTTTTACGAATAGTTCTTTGTTGAGCACGAAAACTCTACCCAGGATCGGATTCTGTAGACATTTCTGAAGAAGAAACGGCCCGATAGAAGTGTTAGAACGATGTACATTTTGAGTAGGTCGAGAAAATGTTCGTCGGCAACATGTACACGATGTTTTGCCACCATGTGCTTCGCTGCTCGCTTTTCTCTGTCCGACAGGGCCGAAGCTATGGGTAATCAACACCGACGGAGGGATCCAATGGGGCACCCACTCAGCGTATGAGGCGTGCCATTTTTTTTAGTACTTCAATGTGCTGTCTTCTTTTACATATTTTTATGGATAATAATCACCAAACTGTGAATCATAAATTAAAAATGGAGAAATAATAAAAGAAAAATAATGAACAAAAAATATTCATTTTATTCTGAATTTGTTCGAATTACAAGTATATCATGTATACAGTTATCATTTAAATTATAACGATAATACGATCATGAATAAATAATCATTTTCAAAATGTTAAACTTCTTGAGACATATCGTTAAATATATATTTAAATATTTATTTAATTATATGGCGTAGAAGTCAAAATTATACTAGTGTTAGAATACTTTCGTTACCAACTCCAAATACTCTGGTGTGATTTTTTGTGTGAAATATATCACAGTTTGGTGATTATTATCCACAGAAATATGTAAAAAAAAAAGAACATTAAAGTACTAAAAAAGATTCAAATATTATTTACGAAAAGTGGGTGCCCCATTGGATCCCTCCATCGGTGTTGATTACGTTTCGGCCCCGTCGGATAGAGAGAAGCGAGCAGCGAAACGTCTTGTACATGTTGCTGTCGAACATTTTCTCGATCTACTCGAAATGTATATCGTTCCGACACTTTTACCGGGCCGTTTCTTCTTCAGAAATGTCTACAGAATCCGATCCTGGGTAGAGTTTTCGTGCTCAACAAAGAGCTTTTCGTAAAAATACAAAAATATTGCGCAGAAACTGCTCACGTCGACACTTTTTTAAACTTTGACATTAATTTATTGCTATTTAGGACCAAAAACAATTAATAAATTGCATGCCATTATATTTGGGAAACTCTCGCCTATTTTTTAACACCAATTAGAACTTTTTAACGTTTGTACTCTTCATGCAATACCTCATTTTTGTCGAAAATTTTGGGATTTTACAAAAGTTCGTTTATTTAAAGAACTGAGGGAGATGGAGCAATTCGGTCTTCGGATTCTTGTTCAGGGAGTGAAGCTCTACAAGAATTTCATAGTGGCTATAGGAACCCAACAATCGTGTCGGACAGTGTTATACAAGTAATTAATTATCCAAAACATGATAATAAATATCTGCAAGATAAAGAGTTTTAAAACCTATATATTTTTTATAAAAGTTGTAATAAATAATTAGTTTGCATTCTTTTATGGACTATTATCATGAATCAAACCTTTAAATCTTTCTTTTATGCAATAAAGTAATAATAATTTTGAGAAGTTATACATAAATACACATTGCCTGTTTTACGTTAATATGTATATTATACAGACTGACGAATTTAAGTTAGCGTTCTAGAACTGTAAAAATAAAATACTCTACCCATACTATACTTGTTTACGACAAACATAATAAAAGAGAAGTCAGAATATTTGTTCATTTGTGTATTGAAGTGGAAACTCTGGTTTCTATGAAGACACTTAGTAGTCGCGGTGAATTAAACTAGATTATATATGCACATGTATTTTGATCGTTGATTTATATGCATATACATGTCACATACATGTATGTACAGCACGTAACTTCACGCGACGCTTTTGCACGTGAATTCGTAGAAATCGGGCTGAATACATATTGTATGTATGTATGCATGTACTGCCGGTAGTGAAATTTGTTTGTATCTTCTCTTCGAGGTTATGATATTTGAAGAGCGCTGTATTTACGAAAAACGAAAGAATCGGTGAATTTAAAATGAAATCTGAATTTAAAATTGAAAGAGCATTATTAAATTGACAAAGTTCTATTGCGTAAAATAATATGAAGCTAGTAAAACCAAATTGGGTTACACACGATGGTTTGTATACCTTATTTAAATATATTTCAAGCTTTACAAATTACAATATGTGATTTGAAAACTTTAATTACACTTCAGGTTTTCCAATATTTTCTGTGGATATACATCCAGATGGAAAAAGATTTGCCACTGGTGGTCAAGGTACTACTATCACTTATTTATGTTTTCATTATTCATAGTGGATTATTATTATTTACTGTGATTGTTTCATGTGTTTCTTTGCAATATGATAAATATTAATTTGATCATTCTAGGTGGTGATTCCGGAAGAGTTGTCATATGGAACATGGAACCAGTAGTCAATGAAGTTGCAGAATTAGATGAAAATATTCCAAAAATGTTGTGTCAGTTAGATAATCATCTTGGTATGAATGATACAATTTGATCTCAATTTAAATAATTTATATTTTTAAGTTCCATTTTCTGAAAATAATAATTTATAAAAATTTATTATGTTTATTCTGTAGCATGTGTAAATTGCGTTAGATGGAGTAATAATGGATTATTAGCATCAGGAGGAGTAGACAAACTCATTATGATTTGGAGATTGTCCGGTGGAGTAGGTGGCAGTTCCATGTTTGGTGGAAAGTCCAGTGTAGAAACATGGCGTTGCATAGCTACTTTACGTTCTCATGAAGCTGATGTATTGGATCTCGCATGGGCACCACATAGTCCATGGTTAGCTTCTGCCTCAGTAGACAATAGCGTAATAGTATGGGATGCTTCAAAATTCCCAGCTATTGTTGCCGTATTGAAAGGTCATAAAGGATTTGTGAAAGGGATCACTTGGGATCCTGTAGGAAAATATTTAGCTTCTCAATCTGATGACAAAACATTGCGTGTATGGCGTACTACTGATTGGACAGAAGCAGCACTGATATCCGAGCCATTCGATGAATGTGGTGGAACTACTCATGTCTTAAGACTTTCCTGGAGTCCTGATGGTCAGTATTTAGTGTCAGCTCATGCCATGAACGGCGGTGGTCCTACCGCGCAAATAATCGAAAGAGATGGATGGACCCAAGACAAAGATTTTGTAGGGCATAGAAAAGCTGTTACGTGCGTGGTATGTAATAGTTGTACATTACAAATATATATAATTTATACAATAATTTTTCTCTTATTTCAGAGATTCAATGGAAATATTTTACAAAAGAAGCAACCGGGCTCTTCCAAGCCGCAACAATATTGTTGCGTTGCTATAGGATCCCGCGATCGTTCCCTGTCTGTATGGTTAACTTCTTTAAAAAGGCCTTTAGTAGTGATACACGAATTGTTTACACATTCAGTGTTAGATGCTAGTTGGTCACCGTGCGGTCTACGTCTAGCCGCTTGTTCTTGGGATGGATCTGTTGTACTTATCGAGTTTACTCAACAGGAATTAGGTCAACCATTAGATCCTGCTGAACAAGTAATCGTCCAACTCGTAAATAATTTACTATACATCATGTTAATAGTTTATATACGTTTAATTTCATTGTAGAGTAGTCTCCACGAACGTTTGTATGGTAAACCTTTAGTTCAAGGCAGTTGTACGGTGATGGAAGCGCCAGAACTTCTTAATTTGAAGACAACATCCTCACCAACGCAAACCACTCAAACATTAACAAGTATAAATTCAGTGCAACCGCCGACTACTACTCCTACAACTCCCGCGAAAGGCCCCATTAATAAACAAATTGAAACAAGGACGTCCGATGGTAAAAGGCGGATAACACCAATGTTTATACCACCACCATCAGACACAATGTTAGTTGATACGTGTATTTTCGAAAGTAACGATAGTTTTTAAACGTTTTTAATATTAAAATAATTCTTTTTATATATTAGGGACTCGTCGAGTGCTAGATTGGGAACACCAACATTTACGAGTCAAGTAAAAAGTTCGATCGTCATAGAAAAGCGAAACGATGTCGTAGCACCTAACGTTACTACTTCAGTGAATTCAATCAACACTAATAGTCCAACAGCTACATTGACTCTGAAACGACGCGAACAGACTACACCAAAACTAAATCACGCTGCACTTTCTAAGAAACCGAAAATCACATCCGAAAGAAATGCAAATCAAATTTTACTTCCCCCTTTGAAGCCATCTAGTTCGTTGTCTCAACAAGCTGGCCATTATGCTGTAACCGTGACCAATAGTCAAGGTTTAGCTCATTTACAAGTGTTCAAGGGTACAGATTCTGAACCAACTTGGGATTTATATTTAGGATACAGTGCTGTAGCATTAGCAGCCTCTCCAGCGGTTATTGCGCTTGGTTTAGAAGATGGGAGCCTTCATACGTTTCATCCTGCAAAAGGATGCCGACCAGCACCTCCTCTAGCTCCACCTGCACCACTTGCAAAAGTCCATGCAGTTGGGAATGCGGTAATATATTTTTCAATATTTTTTTATTTCAAACAAATGATCAGTGATTATTGAACATTGATACCTTTAGGTAATGGTCATTTCAAGTTGTGGAGCAGTTCGTGTATGGGAAATAGGATACTCATGTAGAATGATAGTTTCTACATCTGCTGCACATTTGGCAGTACCAGGCACCTCCTTATTATCTTGCACTTTATATAATGGAATGCCTCATTTAGCTTTTACCAATGCCAGAGCATATATATATCATAAAGAAATGGGTATGTAAATTGAAATGTATCTGCGACTCATTTCAATATGACAATTAATACATGCACAAAAATATTATATATCTTAGGTACATGGTTATTAATTGGCGACAGTCAAGATCCTATATGGCGTTGGGCATCATTCAATGCGTCTAGTACATCTGGAAGTAGAGTTCCCAGAGGACCTCTTTCTTCTTTACAAGAAGGATTATTGAGAACAGCTGGAAACACTTTACCTAATCCAAGATTACCCCATAGTGCACCCAGCGTAGTGTCCTATTTGGAACAACAAATGCTTGCTTCCAGAGCTCTTGGTAGCACACAGGAATATGTACATTGGCTCATTGCTCTAGTATCCTTTCTATTAACTCAAGGTAGATACGAATATTTATATCTTAGATTTTACATTTACCGATCATATTTTTCATTATTGATTATATGTGTTTCTTCTAGATGGATTAGAAAAACGTTTGAGGTTAATTTTAGACGATCTTCTGGGTCCAAGTCACACGTCTGCCTCAAAAAGTATATGGGATCCTTTGATACTGGTAAACTGTCTTTAAGTGTTTGTTACGTCATATTATACATAAGATTGGATATTGCTAATATTTAATAAAATTTGTATAGGGAATGAAGAAACATAAACTCTTAGAAGATGTATTGTCCGTTGTCGGTGGACACCTTCGTTGGCAAAGGTTATATCTCGAATATACAGAACAGTTAACAGCATTGAGGAATCAAACAGTTTGAAAGGAAATCGAATAAATGTCAATTTCGATATAATGTGTTTACTTCGGATTATAATAATCCACCGCGATTCTTTCAAATCGATTCGATAATCTAATATAATACGATTATTATTTTAATATTACAAATTAACTAACGACAAAATGTAAAAAGGCAACTTTTAACATTTTTTTCAGTTCCTAAAAAGCGTAGAATATTCTAACATCATTTAAGAAACGTTTTAGTTTTTTTGTACATTTTAAAAGCACATCTTTATAATGAAACATACTTGTACA